TATACTTTGCAATTTTCCCAAGTTGAATTTGCCTGCTGCCTTCCTGATCTCTTTAAAGCCCTTTGTATGATTGCTGTCCTCAATGATCAGTTCAGCATTCTCTACAGATTACAATTTATCATTTACTTGGCATTACATTACTGAAAAAGCTGAAGGTGTTGCTGCAGCCCCTTTGTCTGGGCATGCAGGAGGACTAACAGTCCTTTCCCTGGCTTCCTTCAGAGTTCCTACTGGACCAGCTGATCAGGAGCCAAAGCACACTGTTAATGCCAGAGTAAATATTTTGCTGGTGCCTGCATCCTGCAGCCCCATAAGTGATCTCAGCTCCATGGCATTTCCAGTGTGTCACCTCTGGCACAGGTGGTGCTCACCTCTGTCCTTCCCAGGGTAGCTGCAGAAGCCACATTTGGCTGCTGCCCCCCCTGCTATTGCCCCATCTCTTCCTGCTGCAGAAGGTGTACTGTCCTTTCGGAAGGATGGGGGAAATGGAAAAGACTCCACCTCTTCCCTCTGCAAATACAGCTCCTCTGAATTCACATCCTGCAGAGCGAAATAGCAAGATCCCAGCCGGGACCGTGACTTCACTTCCTGGTAATGTGTTTCTCCAGCCAGCTGGAAAAGGAGCTTCCATATCTCTGAATGAGCTGCCTGGCTTCCCCCACCCAAAGTCTTTAGCAGATGTTTACAGCCTGATGGGCTGGGGAATGTGGAGTGAAGATTTCAGCTTCGTGGGAAGGGGAGCTCCCACTTGGTTGCAGCACATCGGAAGATGTGGGCACCTTGGTGCTCAGGGGGAATGGTCATGTGCTGGTGCAAACCCCAAGGTAGCAGAAGGAGATGGAGTGAACCCCTCCATCTTACTGAAGTCTTTCTGGGTCATGAAACCTGCAGCAGGAGCACGTGGTTTGCTCCTCAAGGAAAAGGGTGACTCCAGACATGTCTTTCCAAAGGGATTATTTTTCGTTACTTCCTTTCCTTGGTGCTAGCACCATTCGTGTCCTCTGAGATCATGAAATCTTGGGAGTAGAGAGGCAAGAGCTGCACCTTCTCAGCTGCACAGATGGGGACAGGGCTTCCGACTTTGCTTTTTTCCTTTCATTGTTCTGGGAATGTTTGTTTTGAACAAAGCTGCTTTGAAGCTGCTTGTTTTTTTCCTGCTTTGCTTGGGGGGAACAGCAAGAGGGAAATTGAGGTATGACCAGAGGTCCCTGCAGATGACGGGCTGTGCAGTGTGGGGGTGCTGCTCCTGCTGTTTCCGACTTCTTTAAAATACCTAATTGTTGGATTTTCCCTGTGAAATACTAAATAAGGGAGCAGTCTCCCAGGTGACACCATGATCCTGCTGTCATGCTCCCATGCACCTGTTTTTGCCCATCAGTATCTATGGGTCCCCCATAGCAAACTATGGAGGAAGGCAGAAACTTTGGGCCTCTGCTGTCTGCTCAGAAAAGGGACTTCAGCTCCTTCGGTTCCTTCAGTGCAGCCTTAGTACAAGGGTGCCCAGGGGGCTTATTCCAGCTAGATCTGGGGTTGAAACTGGGAGCGGTGCATGTTTATACTGGGTACTGTGCAGCCTGCAAGGCTGGGTCTGGTGCACCTTACACCTGGGTTTGGATGGCATCTCCCATCATCTTCCAGGATAACTTGGGGGTTTCTTCCTGTCAGGGGAGCTGAATCCAGCACTGGGCTTGGTGTTCGGCATGCAGGCTGGTGTCTGGGATTGGGAGGCTTTGCCCTCACACAGCTTCTGTCCCAAGCTTGCTGGATGGCTTTGGCTGAATTTCTTCATCTGTGGTCGAGTTCCTTTCCTGTCAAAGTGAGCAAATCCCTTCCTACCTGCTAGGAAATAGCGCTTTAAATAGCAGGTCTATGCTGGGCAGCTGTGTCAGGAGGAGCTGGTTTGGGTGGCCATGGCAGACATGCCTGTGGATGGATGGATGGCAGGAAGGGGATAATTTCTTCAGAGGAGAGATAGGTGGATGTCACCTCTTCATGCCACAGAGAGATATAAGGTCTATCCTGATATCCAGCTAAGCCCAAACAAGATGAGCCTCTCCTTCCCTGCAAGCAACCAACAAATGGTTCAATGCTCCAGAGGGACCATGTCTATCTCCACAGTGGTGCTTGAGGAAACAGCAGGTGTCCCCACAGGGGTGAGATGAAACGCATGAGTGACTCATGGAGCCCAGTGTGCTGGCACAGGGAGTTGGGCAAGGGTAAGTCTGACTCCACGCAGCCAGTGCCTGGCAAGTGTCCCAGGAGGTTAAATACGGATTTGCACCAGGCTGGCTGCCAGTGGTGCTGAAAGGTACCCACCCTCGCAGACTGCCCTCCTGGGTGTCCCCATGTCACACAGTGCAGCCCCCATGGAATGGAGGCAATCCAGTCCCATGGGGAAACAGAGGCATGGGGCAACAACATGCTGCATGGGTGAGCTGCTGGTGAGCTGTTTTGCAACATGTTTATGGGGACATACAATTCCAACTCCCCCTGCCAGGTGCCTTAGAGCCAGCTCCCTCCCCACCAGTGATGCAGGGCTGGAAACTGCTGTGACCAGGAGTCCAAAAGTTTGAGAAGCAGTGCATTCCCACAGCTGGGGTGGAGCAATCAGCTATTAGGGTTGTGGCACCATATCTGAGTGCAGCCTTTGCCATGACCACATCCTGAGTAGCATGTGGACCCTGTATGTGTAAGCAATTTGCTGGAGCTCTCTGGAGGTGTTTCCTGCCTGCTGCTTGGGAGCAAGATGCTGCACAGAAGTTTACTTCCTTCCCTCAAGGACTTGCTCAGCCCTGGTCAGTGCTGCCAAGTCCCATCCTGCCTGGGAAGGAGCAGGTGAGTGCATAGGGTATGGGATGGAGTCAGCAGGACCCCTAGGGGGAGCACGGGGATGAGTATGGAGGACTTGTCTAGGGTTAACCTTTGGGAAGTGCAAAGTAGACTTTTTCCCTGAAATTCTCTCTAGCAGGGCTTTCTGCATTTCAGTATCAGTTCTCTGCTTTGGTGGCCTTGGTCCAGATTAATCCTTCGTGGAGGTGAGCATATGCCCAGCAGCATGTTGGCCAGGCCTGTGAGTACTCCAGCCCCGGTGTAGTCCCAAAGAAGGTGATGATGCATCTGGGAAGGATCCAGCTGCCACATTGCAGTGTTGTGGTTAGATTGGTCCTGCTCAGTTTTAACCCATCCTCACATTGAGCAAATTGTCTTTTTGAGATTGCTTTGACTGGCCCCCATGCGCCATACACGCAATTTTGGACAGGGTAGACAGGATGGGGCTGGCAGAAGCTGCCTTGTTGTGCTACATACATTTTCCCCTGCCAGGCTGATCTCCATCACTCTGCTCTTCTCTTTGCCTGTGCAAAGCCCCCAGGGTTTCTGCCTTTTCAGGCATGCTTGTACTCAGTGGGTATCTCCATCCATTGCACTCTTTCAGCACTGCCCACCTAGCTAAGCTCTGGAGCTCCTGCCCATGCACACAGTGAGGATCTCTTTGCAGGAGCTCTGTAGGTCTATAGAATTGCTGCTTGGCTGATGATGGACATCCCATCCCAATCTTAGTCGTGGCAAGTAGTCACGAGTCCTTCAGCAGCAGCTACTCAAAGTCCGTTCATATATGTGTAATGAGCAAAGGTTTACATAGAGTAAACTTAGAAATAAATCCAAAAAAATAGCACAACCAAAGACAATGCCACGTTTGGTCAGAATAAGAACCAGTTAACATCTTCATGGATAAAACTTTCTTCTCCGAAAGAGTGGTCAGGCGCTGGAATGGGCTGCCCAGGAATGGGGTTGGGTCACATCGCTGGACGTGTTCAAGAACCTTTTAAGGGCGGTTCTAAGGGACATGATTTAGTGGGGAAATAGTGGTGGATGATGGTCCTGGAGGTCTTTTCCAATCTCCATGATTCTGTGAATAATTAGGCTGTTTACAGAACATTCTAAGTGGCAGGAATGCATGCACCATTATTTGGTTTCCTTTTAATCATACATTTGGATGATGAATGGGTGCCTTCCCATTTTCAGCCCTGGTTTCTGGCAGAAGGGCTGCACATCTCCCAGTCTGCTCGGCTGCAAGGAAGGAGGCTCCTTCCCTAGAACCCCATCTCATTTCAATGTGGCTTGAGCTGGTTCAGCCCGATCTGAAGCCCAGTTGTCAGACTTCGATTTTTCATAGGGAACAGCACAGAAATCTTTCAAAGCATTTAAACTCAGCTCATCAGTGATAGCTCTGCTTGGAAAGGCAGATGAGTGGCTTCATTTCTTGTCCCTTGCATACCTTTTCCTTTCTTTCCTGTTTTACTTAGCACATGAATTCCAGAGCTGTTAATCCTCTGCCAGCCCCTCATGGAGAATACAGTCCTCTCTGTGTGGGAGAAAGGAATTCATTCGAATTGAGGGAAGGAGTGGGGAGCAGGGACACGTGCTGGGACCAGGGTGGGGTGAACGTCTTCTGTTGCTCTGTAGCCCTGAAAAGGGGGGAGGGAGGGGCAGGTGGTGGGATGGCTGCAGTGGCACAATCCTGGCATTCATGGCCAGATGCTTCAGCCTCTGACTGCACCATAAAAATGCCATTTGTGTGGGCTTTGGGCCTGGCCTTGGCAGGCAACAACAGCGACTGGGGGTGAAATGCCCTGCTCAGCACTTCTGGGGCACTGCTGCTTATAAAGGGGAGGGAAGCACTATCCCACACGGAGTGGTACGAGTTGCAGGGTCCAACCTATCCAGGGTCCTGGGGGTGCGCAGAGAAGGACAGGGGGCAGGAAGGACAGAGGGGAATGGATCTGAGTTAGAGTGGGCTCAGGGTGGTGGAGGGAGGGTTCATGAAGGTGAATTGTGGAGGTGAATGTGGAGCAAGAGAGGGGAGACGTTGCAGAGATGGGGCAGGCAGTGGTCTGCATGCTGGGAAGTGAGTTTCTTGTGGGATGTGGGTCCTCGTGGGTGTCCTGTTCAGCTGCAGGGGCTCTGCTTCTCACCTTGACTGTCATCACTTGTCTCTGTAGAGCTCCTGGGATCTGCCAAGCGCCTGAATGTGAACTACCAGGATGCAGATGGGTGAGTACTCCCTGCCCCATGAGGCTGCTGGTTGCCTGGGCACTTCCAGAGAGGAGGGGAAAGGTTTGCTTGGGGTAGCTCTCTCTTCAATGCCCTCTTGCTTCTGGGTGGGTATTGTGAAGTTTTCGAAGTTAACCGCTGAGCCTTGAAAATGCAACAATATCTCAAGACAGTGCTACTTTATGGAGCCAGTGCAAGCCCTACAGAGGCAGACAAAACATGTGGATCTGAGCTCTTCTGCATCCCCTCCTGTAGGACTGGGGCTGAAACAAGTTCAAGGTGTCCTGAGTGTTGGGTAGCATACTGAGGAGCACTGTCCAGCCAGCCACAGAACATGCACATGCTTGTGTGCGTGTTTAACATCCCAAGAGCAAAATCCTTTTACGTAGGGGGGTTAAAGAAAGAAGAGATGTGATTGCTAAGTGACCGCAGCATATTTGTGCAGCTCATCACTTCCAAGATCCAAGCACTTAATAGGCTGGGTTCTAAGAGTTAAGGAAACCACAGAGGCCAATAAAATAAATAAGCACATTATTCTTATTGAATTAACTCTGACCCATAAATTATTAGCATTGGTTTAAGTATTGTTGTACCTAATTTCTGTTTTCTTTTCGAGGACTCTGTAGGAGGAAGTGTCAGTGCTAGTAGGCCTACAGGGGGTTGGAAATGTGCAGCGTGACCATCTTAAAATAATAGTATATAGATGGAGCTTAATAGGAAAAAAAAATCTAATAGTAAAAGTAGATCTAATTCTGATAAGGCATAGGGTTCATGTTCAGGCAGATCCAGGAGGGCTGCTGGTGCATAAAGGGTCCCTGTTGAAGCACCACATGTGGTGTTTGGTTTATAAGAAGCCCCTGCAGGGATGGCCAGGGGGATTTCCTCCCAACCATACACTTGTTTTGGGGTAGAGGTTTCAGTGTGGCTGTGTTGGAGGAGGAAGCAGCCCTTTGCTGTGGTCAGCACATCCCTCCTCATTTAAAGTTCCCTCAATGGAGTAAGGACCTTGTATTTTGGCAGTAGCCCTGCAGGTGACAGCACAGGGGGAGCATGCTGGGCAAATAGACTCCTTTCACAGCCCTGAGACACAGAGCATATTAATTGCTGGCAGCCTTTCCTGCTGTGCCATGGGCTCCTGGCATCACTGCTGGCATGTGCAAGACAGAACAGGAACAGCACAGGGGTATTTACCTCCACTTTGCTATGGGGAAACTGAGGCACTGGCTGACACTGAGCTGTGTTTGGAGCAGTCAAAAGGGACATAGCCATGAACCACCTAGTGGCCGGCCCAACCCTCAACCCTCAGTCCCTGTGCAAAGTGGGGCTGTCAGAATAGCATGGGAGGAACTGGGCCCTGCCTTGTGCTATAGGTTCTCAGCACTGCACCATGCAGCCTTGGGTGGCAGCCTGGACCTCATCTCACTCCTGCTGGAGGCACAGGCCACTGTGGACATCAAGGACAGCAACGGTAAGGGGTGACCTCATGCCCTCTCCCTACGGCAGCCAGCCTAGCCCTCTGAGCCATATCAGACGCTGAGCTGCCCTCTGCCTTGCTGAGCCCCATTTCCCCCAGGGATGCGCCCCCTGCACTACGCAGCCTGGCAGGGACGCGTGGAGCCAGTGCGGGTGCTGCTGCGTGCTGCCGCCTCTGTCAATATGGCCTCACTGGATGGGCAGATTCCACTGCACCTTTCAGCACAGTATGGCCACTACGAGGTGGTAAGTGGGAACTGGAGCCAGCGACGGCCACATACCTCAGCTGGATCTGTCCTTGTGGGTGGGTGTGATGCAGGAGCAGGGCGATGCTGAGTCCCCACATTGCTCCCCTGTAGTCGGAGATGCTTCTGCAGCACCAGTCCAACCCCTGTCTCATCAACAAGGCGAAGAAAACCCCCCTGGACTTGGCCTGCGAGTTTGGGCGACTGAAGGTGAGCACTCTGCCATGAACTCCACAGCCTGGCGGGCAGCACTCACCTCTTCTTGTGGCTAGGCAAGACCAGGTCCTGAAGCTTCGAGCTGCTGCCTTTGCTCCCAGCCTCACAGCAAGGCAGCAGCAGACTGACAGAGAACCTGGGTCTCCTTGTTTCTGAGAGCTCACACCTTCCCCCCACCCATTGTGGCTTTGCTCTCATTTAAGGACAGGCTGAGCCTGCTGATCCCCACCAGCCTGCAGGGCCCAGCTCCATTCAGCTGCTCAAAGTCCCAGCTCAGTTTGTGTGGACAGAGAGCCTCCCTATGACTCAGGAGACCCCAGCTGAGCCAGTGTGGTGGGGCTGGGCTGGTGTGTGGCCAGCCAGACTGTCCCATGCCCCATTGGGGTGGGGTACATGGGGATATTTCCATTTTTGGAGTATCTGTAATATCTGCAGCTATAAACAGGGCAGTAAAAATAACTCGTCTGTGCCTTTGGGTTGCCTTGAGATGCTGAGAGTCACTCCAGGCTTGGGGAGATGTGTTTTTTCGGGCTTGATCTGAAAAGCCTGATTATGGGAAGACTATTTCTGGCTGTGGTGACTTTCTGCAGCCCCTCCCAATACAGTGGTCGCAGCCAAGCTCTGTCCAGGCACAGCCAAGACCTAAGGCTATGGGATGGATGGAAGTGATGAGATAAGGAGCACAGAGCCAGCCCTGAAGAAAGCAAGTGCAAGTGCCTTGTTGTGACTGGGTCACCTGCACCTCATTGCTCACCCTGTGCCTATGCAGGTGGCCCAACTGCTACTGAACAGCCATCTGTGCGTTGCCCTCCTGGAGGGGCAGTCAAAAGATGCGACCGACCCCAACTACACCACCCCACTGCACCTGGCAGCCAAGAATGGGCACAAGGAGATCATCAGGTAACCCCCACACAGCCCTGGCATCGCTCAGTGCCAAAAACCGTCATGACTTCGGTCTTGCATCCTCCTAAACTCATGTCCCTGTTACAGGCACTGGTGCCTCATTCCCAAAGCCTCAGCAGTGCAGAGGGTTGTCCCCTTCCCATTGCAAAGAGCTGATCCCCTGGCCCCTGTTCCTGTGTCCTCCTGTTCATGCCTTTCCCTCCTTGCTACCAGGCAGCTGCTGAAGGCTGGAATTGAGATCAATAAGCAGACAAAGACGGGCACAGCCTTGCATGAGGCCGCGCTCTATGGCAAAACAGAGGTGGTGCGTTTGCTGCTGGAGGTGAGCACAACGGGGACAGGACTGCACTTGTGGACAAACCCATGAGGCTTGATCACCTTCCCCTCTCTCATACCCTTCCTCCCCCCATCCCCTGCCAGGTGGGTGCTGCTGCAGATTCTGGCACTAATTGTATCCCTCCTTGGGCAGGGCGGTGTTGACGTGAATATCAGGAACACCTACAACCAGACAGCACTGGACATTGTCAACCAGTTTACCACTTCACATGCCAGCAAAGACATAAAGCAGCTGCTGAGAGGTGAGATGGGACTTGCCTGTGGCCAGGGCCTGCCTGGCACTGAGAGGAACATCTTCCTAATGGAACTTGCCTGTTGCTCTTACCCTCCCAGTAGTCTTAAACCAGCCTGTGTGCAAGTGTCAGTAGCTGAGTCTCATCACATGTGCTCCCATTCTCCTTGTGGGTGATCCCCAGTGATCAAGCAAGCCCTACCTGCAGTATTAATGTTCTCTCTTCACTCTTTTTTTCTCCTCCTGCCTTTCCCAATCCACTTCCCAATCCACTGCGCTGACACCTTCCTTTGTTTTTCTGTCTCTTGTTCAGAGGCATCAGGAATCCTGAAGGTACGAGCTTTGAAGGATTTTTGGAACCTCCATGACCCAACTGCTCTCAATGTCCGGGCAGGAGACGTCATTACGGTGAGACTGCTCCCGACTCCCTGCCCCCCATCTCCACCACTACCCACAGTACCAGCCCCTTCCTCCTCTCCCTACATCAGGTCCTGGAGCAGCATCCGGATGGGCGATGGAAGGGACACATCCATGACATTCAGAAAGGCACTGATCGCATTGGGTACTTCCCCCCCTCCATTGCTGAAGTCATCAGCAAGCGAACAGGTCAGTGACCACCCTGGGTCTGTTGTCTCCCATGTGAAACCACCTCACCCTTCCCAGCACCTCCCATAGACAAGTCCCTGCAGCCCTGGCTAGCTAGGTGGCAGGGAAAGAGAGGATTCTGGTGGACACAGGAGGCTGTGTGACTGGTGTGGTAGAAATCTGGGGTTTGAGACTGAGATGTGCCCCCTTGCTGTCTCCTACACAAACTTTGACCATGCATGTTTTGTCTTTGAATGCAGGCATGATCCTCCCCCGCATGGCGTCCACACACCAGCACCAGGGCACTCCTGGGGCCCCCACGGCACTCCCTGACTGCAGCCCTCCACAGCTGCAGCATCTCCCCAGCGAGTGTCCGCAGCAGGCAGCCCCAGCATCCTATGGCCACCTCACCCTAACCTGGACGGCCCCAGGCCCTGACAGCTCAGGTCAGGGATGCAGCTGCGGAGGGAGAATGACTGCGGACCTTTCTCTGCCCCCAGTCCTGTCTGCGTGGGGGACTTTGGGATACTCTCTCCTTCCACATCCTCACAGGGAAGCAGCTAGACAAGAGGGAGCAACTGTAGAGAAAGGGAGCTTAGGGGAGTCCGTAGAGCAGCCTCCCGGTGTCTTCAGTCAGACTGAGCTCTCATGTCCCTTTTGTGTGTCCCATGCCAGCCCAGGTCACCCTGTCTGTGCTGTGTGTGCCAGGAGGGACTGTTGCATGATGTGTGGCTGGAGGGACCTTGGGGGGGGTTGGATTTTGCTGTTGTCATTGTGCTGTCACAGCTGACAGCCTTCCCTCCTATCCTTGAGCAGCAGGAGACAGGAACAGCGTGGGCAGTGAGGGCAGCATTGGCAGCATCCGCAGTGCAGGCAGTGGACAGAGCACTGAGGGTACCAACGGGCAAAACACCAACATCGTCATTGAGAACACCAGGGTAGGTACCAGCCCCTGCTGTCCCCATGCTCTTCCCCACAGTTAACCCAGGCTGAATCAGGATGACGATGTAGTCCAGCGCTTCCCTTGTAATCCCCTGCACCTCTTGGCAAAGCAGGGACTGACAAAGCTGAGCATCCTTTATCAAAATGTATTTGCTGCTGTGGGAAAAAAAACAGTGGGACTAGAGCTCACAGAAATAAGGCCCTTCTGGAGGGATGTTTTTCCTCCACTCGTTCTTCCTCTCCCTCAGCCGCTGCCCTCCACTGGTGATGACCTCCAGCAACAGATTTTGGGATCAGAGCCACGCAATGAGCAGATTACTTCCATGACAGGTGAGGGATGTCTCAAAACCATGGGGCCTTAGGGACAGCTGTGCCCTGTCCTTGGGGCTGTGTGCTGCCCAGGTCCCTGTGTGACTCTCTCCTCTCCCCTGTTCTCTCTGCCAGGGCCCCCAGGCCACCAGACCCCTAGCAGCTGCACCCCTGGAGACAAAGTCTTTTCACACCAGTTTCTGCGACCTGAGCAGCTCCTTGAGGGGAAGGTAATTAGGCCAGGCAACATCTGGTATGCAGGGTGGGAGGACCATGTCTGGGGCTCTCTGCCCAGCTCTTGCTGCACTGGGGAGATGGAGCTGAGTTTTGGGAATGCTGGGAATGAGTGGGTCTTCCTCAAGGAGTTCCTGTTGTCATGCTCCAACCAACCCATGCAGCTGTCGTCACAGGCTTCTCTTTGCCTTGTCCTCTCCCCAGGATGCAGAAGCCATTTACAACTGGCTGAGTGAGTTCCAGCTGGAGTCATACACTGTCAACTTCCTCAATGCTGGCTACGATGTCCCCACCATCAGTCGAATGACACCAGAGGTAAGGCAAGTCCTTCCCTGCAGGCTTGCACCCCTTGTCCTGCTGGCTGTAGGTGCTTGCTGCTCCATGCTTTCCATGCTGCTGCTAACTGTTGCCCCGCTCTGCTTGTGTTAGGACCTGACGGCCATCGGTGTGACCAAACCAGGCCACAGGAAGAAAATTTCCAGTGAGATTGGGCAGCTCAGTATCACCGAGTGGCTGCCCAACTATATTCCGGTGAGTCCCTGGCGTCAGGGCTTTGGTCCTCTTTTCTCAGAGCTGCCTTTCCCCAGGACAGGATGGGGGAGCTATAAGAAAATGAACACTGAAACTGCCTGCATTAATTCAGCCAGAGAGAGATCCCGAGAAAGCAGCCTCCCAGTCAGGAACAGGGAGAAGGTGGGTGAAAGCACTGCCCATCCCTTGATGCTCATGGCAGCATCTCTGTGCTCTTCACAGGCTGATCTGATGGATTGGCTCAGTGCCATTGGTTTGCCGCAATACCACAAAAAATTGGTAAACAACGGCTATGACTCCATCACCATTGTCACAGACCTGACATGGGAGGATTTGCAAGAGATTGGCATCAACAAGCTGGGTGAGTCCTTGCTGCATCATAGGGGTAGCCCAGGGCAGCTGAGTCTCCTGGCCAGGTCCTCGTGTCCTGACCTCGCATGGGGTGGGCAGTGCAGGCATGTCCTGTACACCTGCAAAGGGGAGTTCCTGGTCATCCCCAGGGACTACCTTGGGCAGACTGGAGTAAGGCTGTGCTTGTTGGAGGTTGGCATTGGTTTATCTCCTCTCATAGGCAGGCTCTGGATAACCTGAAGGCCTTTGCCCCAGTTGGTGGTATGACCTTGGCTGTTCTCAGCCAAAAAACAAAGGCCTTCGAGGGAAGGAGCCAACCTAACATCCCTTTCCTCTTGAAACTCTCTCCCAGGCCACCAGAAGAAGATCATGTTGGCTGTAAAGAAGCTCAGAGACCTCCGCAAAAGCCTCAGCCAAACAGAAGCGACACTGACAAGACATAAAGTCCCTGGTGCCCTGGACATTGTCACTATTGAGTCACTGGAGAATGGGGAGTGCCAGTCCCCAAACACACCCAAAATGACAACGTTCCAGGACAGCGAGCTCAGCTACGAGCTCCAGACAGCCATGTCCAACAGCTGCCACGAGACGCTCAGCATCAAAAACAGCCAAGGAATGTCACGGAGCCAGGAGAGCATTGGGGTGCGGTCCCGGGGCTCGGGGCACTCACAGGACAACGTACCGTGCCGGCACCTCTCCAGTCCCTCTCAGGAGAGCCTGGGCAGCGGGGAGAGCAGCAGCAGCAGCAGCGGGCAATCCTGCATGCCACCTCACAGCAAGGAAAACCTGGCCAGCCTGCCGAGACAGCCTAGCCCAGAGCCCTATGGGAAGCTCACCTCCCCTGAGGGGCTGAATGGCTTCGCTAATTGCAGTGGGGGCAGCCCTCTTAAGGAGAGGAACCTGCCTGAAGGCACAGATCAGTATGCCCGGCTGACAGCTCAGAAAGGTGCTGGCCATGTGGGGACACTGATGGTCACTCCCAGCACTCCTCCCCAGACTCCCAGCAAGGCAACAGCTCCATATGTCTTCATGTACCCACATGTCTCCTTGAAATCCCCAAGAACCCCTTCCAGTCAGGGAGCAGAGCAGCCTAAGACCTCTGCACACTCCTACCCCTCCTCTGGGCAGAAAAGCAGTCTGCAGACATCAGCCCCAAAAGCTTTCTCGTACCTGCACAGTCAATGTAGCCCTGCTGAGCTGCTCAAAGCTGCCACAACCCCGAATGCCTGGCAGACAGGGGAGCAGCACAAGGGGGGTGAAGGCTCCAAGAACAAGAAGCGCTCACATAGCCTGAACCGCTATGCACTGTCGGATGGAGAGCCTGAGGAGGAGGAGGGGATACCCACCAGCACGCTGGGCTCCTATGCCACCCTGACGCGGCGGCCAGGACGCAGCCAGATGCCACGGGCCTGCCTGCAGACAGAGGCCAAGGTGACCCGCAGCCAGTCCTTTGCCATCCGGGCCAAGCGCAAGGGCCCCCCGCCGCCGCCTCCTAAGCGTCTCAGTTCTGTCTCTAGCACTCCCACCACCGAAGTGGACAATGAACAGCCTCCTAACCCTGAGCGACAGCCTTCTGTACCCCGGGATGTGGCTGACACAGGTGCCAGCCCCAGTGACAGCGGCTGCAGCAGGACAGTGAGGAGCCTGGTGGCCGCACTGGAGGAAACACCAGGGCTGAATCCACCCAAACCTCTCCTAGCCCCGAAACCACTGCATGTGGCTCAGGACTCTCTCTCCAAGGCTGCTGTGGATGATAAGTCCCACAACAGTTGTGATCCCAGTGGCACTGTGCTCTCTGATTCTGGCTGGGACTCATTTGATAGCAGCAAGCCGAGGAGACGGACACTGAGTGAGCCCAGTACTCCCATGTCAGAGGCTGTGCAGGGTAGGCAGGAGGATGCCTGCTCAGATGCAGAAGAAGAGGCCAAGCCAGAGGTCTCTTCATCCTCCCAGAACAGTTCCAGTGAGTGCATCCCCTTTGCAGAAGAAGGCAACTTAACTATCAAGCAGCGACCAAAGCCTGCTGGGCAACCTAAGGCTGACACTGCAGTGCAAGGCACAGAGCCCAATTCCCAGCCTGCGGAGGCCCTGTGCTCTGATGGGAAGGAGACGGCTGTGTCCACTGCCACCAGGGAGCTGCCCATGCTGGAGTTCAACCTCACTGAGTCAGACACGGTGAAGCGCCGACCCCGCTTCAAGGAGCGGGAGCCTCTGCAGGCAGTGCTGAAGGCATTCAGCATGGCAGGGCAGGCTGAGGTGGGGGCCAGCTCTGCACCCCAGTATGCCCAGGCCCAGGCTGTAAGCATCGTGGGCCCCACCACACAGGGGCCAGCACCACAGGCTGGACTGGCTGGAGATGCTTTTGACGATGACAGTGTGGAGTTCAGGATTGCTGAGATAGAGAAGAGCATCTTGTCACTGGAGAAAGGGATTAAGAAGGCACCAAGCCCCATCAAAGCTCCCAGCCCCACAGAACTGCTCAGCACTACTGTGGTGAGGATGCCTGCTCCAGGTATGGGGATCTGTGGGGAGGCCTCTAGGGTTGTGGCAGGGTCTGAGGCTCTCTTCTACCGCGGCTGGCTTGATGTGGCATTCCCAACCAGCCCAGTGAGGGGGACCTGTGCCACCTCATGCCATGAGGCTTTTTCTCTTGCAGACATCCCTGCCAAGCACACTTCAGTGGCGTCCACAAAGCTGGTGTTCTCTGGGCCCAAGACCATCTACCAGCAGGTCCTGCAGCCCTCCCGCCATACTGTCGCTCCCTGGGCAGCTACTGAGTCAGTGCCAGATGTGATCGGGTCCCTGGCTGGCCCCAGCCCACTGACACTGGAGGCAAGCAGCAAGGTGTTTGTAAAGCCCTTGGCCTCTGCCCCAGGGGCTGCCCTGGTCCAGCAGCGGCTGGAGCACACCAGCATCACCACATTGCAGGCAGCTGAGAAGAAGATCACAGTGGAGGAGGTGCAGAGGTGAGGTGGCTTTGGGGGAGAAGATGCTGGGGTGAGACCCCTGGGAATGGTACTGGGGAGCCAGGCATAGGGCTGGGGGCCTCCAGCCCTAAAGGCAGCAGCTGGTGCCCAGGCAGCCCCAGGACTGTGTGCAGGCTGCAGCACACAGATAACACATGCCTGTGACACACTCAGTCGAGCATGCTGAGGTCTGGCTGTGCCTGGGAGGATCCAGTTCATCCTTGCTGCCTCTGCCCCATTTGCACTTTGAGCCTTCAGGCTGTGTTCTAACCACCTCTCCCTTCCCTTCACAGCCCCCTCAGGGCCACGCACTCAGCCAAGAACATCCTGGAGGACATCAGCAATATGTTTGATGATCTGGCCGACCAGTTGGATGCAATGCTGGACTGAGGCTTGTTCCCTGTTTCCCTTTCCCACCTCTGTCTGCTCTGTGAGCCTGATGGGGGAAGAACGGATCAGCGCCAAGCGGTGCCTTTAGGTTCCTCCAGCTGCCCCCTCCCTGCACTTTGCAACACTGCTGGGGATGTGGATTGCCCTCCTCACCCCTCATGTCACTGAGAGCTGCCTGGCCTCATGTCACCACTGCTGTACAACTGTGGGCTGCTTTATGAGGGAGTCAGGCATTTTCCTTTGGACTGACAGAAAGAGGAGAGCCCAGGAGGGCTGCGCTCCTGGAGGCCATGGAGGAGTCCTCGCTCCCTTGCACAGAGCTGAGGAACCTCCACAAAGGACCTTTCTCTTTCCTCACTGCACTGAATCCTGCTTCTTATTATTTATCCCCTGCCAACAGTGTGTCAAAAGAAAGACCTTCCTGGGCAACTGCCATGGAGCTGGCTACCACGCAGAGCCTTGCCTGACAGCAGCTGAAAGAAGACAGGGCTTGTCCTCATTTGGCAGCTCGTACAGTGAGAAGGAACCTTCCTGCTTTATTTGTTGCTTTTCCAAATGCATTAGTGTCAGGCAGCATGTAATGTGAGTGGATTGAAAGCCCCAGTGGGACCCACACCTCCCAGGATGGGGCTTGCACTGTGTATGCCCACAGTCATGGGGATGGTGGCACTGAATGCCACACATGGACGCATTTAAGGCAGTCTAGAGCAATGTATTCTGTGGAGGCTGGCCTTTGCTACACTGTGCCTACCCAAAATGCAGCCCTCGAGCTTACAGGGATAAAGTAGCAGAATGGTTAGTGGTAGCTTTTTGGTTTTTTCTTTAACCCTCATTTCTTTTTAGGTGTGGGCCCTCTTCCTACTCCCTCTTCCCATTTGCACTCTCCCTGCAAGGAGAAGCTGGCACAGGCTGTGAATGCTGTTACACAGCAGCAGCATTTGGGACCAGGCTTCGATGCAGTGCTAAAACCCAGTAAGAGGGGTGATCTCACATGCATGCGGTGAACTCGGCTCAGTAACAGCTGCTGTGCACACACACTGGATGCAGTTACAGCCCGGTGGCTGTAGCAGGGGAACAGCAGTGGTAGCTCATTGCATCCAGCAATAGGAACGTCTGCATAGCTTGAAGACAGATTTCTCTTCCAGGATCTGTTAGTAGTGCATGTCTAAATATGACCAAGAGCCCTGAACTTGGCTTGTACTCAGCATGCCAAGCAAATGAAAGCACCGCAGCACCAGAAGGGAACCTAAGATTGTACTGAAGTGCCATTTGTTAGAAAAATTCTGAAAAAAGGGAAAAATAAATTCCATTTCCAACCTCTGTTAGAAAATGTCCCACACAAAACCAAACTGGAAAGGGAGAAGGTGGCCAAGAAGGTTTTCCCAGTCCTTTGGGGAATGTGAGACTGAAGGAGCTTGTTCACAGCCCCTTACCTTGCATGGAAGAGCAGAGCCTGCCCAGTTGGCTCATGTGGGCCTTCTCCCACATGGCCATGGCACCACAGCCTGGTAGGATGTGCTAGCCTTGCTCCTGGGCTGGAAGCAAAGATGGAAAATTCCCCAAGAAAGGATTGGCTGGGACCTGAGGTCAATTTGAGGTGGTTAAGGCACCTTACTCCTGGCTAGTTGGTTGCTCTGTTCCAAACATCATATAGCGCGTGTTTAAATGACCATGTCTGACAGGCAAGTGCTGCATCGTGGACATGATGATTTTAAAACAGCTCCAGCCTGTGGCACTTTATCAAAAGGTTTGCACAAACCTTTTCACAACTGTTTTTATTCTCATGAGTCAACCTGGGACAAATCCAGTTTTTTTGGGTTTTTTTTGTTTGTTTGTTTTTCCTGACATTGATAAACTGTAATTTTTTTTTAAAGGCCAATGTATATATTTTAAATGTGATTTATTATATATATTTACTAGCCAGAACCGCAAGTCTTGTACCCTTGGGTCAGGTGTAAGAGGACACTGGTGTGGAGCTGTCGCTGTCTGAGCCACCTGAGGGCAGCATCATGCCGCTCTCACTGTCAATAAGGGAATTAAACACTTGATTTTTTCAGAATACCTATTTTTTAAGCTCTAGATTACTATTTTGAAGCTACTGTATGGTGTGTAAGTTATGCACACTATGGCTGGGACTGACCCTGCCTGCACCTGCTCCGTGCAGCAAGACAGAAGCAAAACAAATTGCCCATGTAATCATTAGACTGACAAGATTTTAAACCTTCTGCTGTTTGTGTTGATAATGTTTTGTTTTCCACTAACATCCATTAAGACTGAATTCTATTAAACAGTGGGGCCTATTTCACCCTTTTTATAGTTCTGCATAGTTGTCTTCTTCATGTCAAATCATACAATCTCGCCTCCTGCTCTGTTTGAAGTCCGCTGAGAAGCAGTTTTACCCTGCCCCCTGCATGCTTAAGATCTGGGTTCCTTCAGATAATTTTCCTGATACAAGATGCGCTGTCACCTCTAGCAAGGTTAATGTTCAGACTGAGCATGATGACTGTGACAGCAGCGTGTGATGAGCACACTGGGTACAAGTACTGCCTTCCAGTCCCTCTGCCCAGCTTTGGATCCTTTGCTCAGGCCAAGCAGCCTAGGCCTCATCTCATCAGTGTTTCTCCAGAGCTCCCAGTGCTTGCTCCTCACCACCAGCTTTTCTTTCTGAGTTTCAAGCTGCACCGCCTGCTGCAGTCACAGCACTCAGCAATGACCATGCAGCAAGCACCTGCCTGGAGATCAATCGGTAAGGGAAAGGTTGGCCAAGAAGGTCAAGGGAAAGGTTGCTGTGTGGGAGAACGATGCAGTGGTGGGCTCATTTGCCCACGGCTCAGCAAAAACTGGGAGAAAGTGTCAGGGCCGGATTCTAGGAGTACCAAGCTTTCAGGCTGTGTTCCTACAATAGAGGTGAGTTACATTAGCTGTGACCCCATGGCATGACCAACTGCACACATCCATAGCTCCTTGCTGTGTAGAGTCCCTCCAACGTTCCCTGGATATGTTTTTTAAGACAGTAATTTATTACTGTTCATATACTGGATGCACGTGTGTTAGGGTTTCTTTGTTTTTTTAATACAAATCAAATATTTTTACATTCATCCCCCAAAAATTTAATATAAAATATACACCATTTAAAAACATCTTGATGTAGGAAACTTCCTCCTAAAGCCATTCACTCCAGTCCTCAGATGCCTCAATGGCAGAGGACGGGTGGCAATGTCAGAGCATCCCAAAGGCCCGTTTAATAGGCCATGGCTCTGCCCAAGTCTAACAGAGGAAGGAGGATGCAGAACAATAACTTTTGTGATCACCCACAGAAAGAAACCCTGGAGGCACCACCTCTTGCAGAAGGTGCAGCTAGCAGGAAGTCCTAGCTGCTGCCTTTTGTTGCCCACAGGTTCAGCAGCACAGAGCAAGAGCTAAGGTCTGGGTGGCAGGCTGCTCTGCAGGCATAGCATTGAGCAGCTCCGTGCTGCCTCCACCTGCAGCCCAACTTGGCTACGGAGAAGATAATGCCCGACTTGTCAGCCAGCCCTAGCATCAGAAAGAGAAGCTGATTTCTCAGTTGCCAGTGATCTGGAGCTCGCTTTCAGTAACCTAAGTGAGACTGAAAGCAGCAGCTCATTCTCTCTGAGCCAGGCAGCCCTGCAGATTCAAAAGGAGTGAAGGAAGAGCTCAGCTCAGGTCAGCTCACCTGGCAAAGGCTGACCTAGTATTGCTGCACTGCAGGTGAGCAGCTTTGCCTTTCCCCACTGAGCTACTGGCTCCCTATTCCATTCAACTCTAACAGCAACACTGAGCCTGAGCAGCCCCTCTGCAGCTGCAGAACAGGCTCCAGGCCCCCTGACACCTGTACTGTGCCTCCAGCAGCCTCACTCTGTCCTCAGAGCTCAAAAGACTGGCTGTACTCCAGCTCCCCTGCTAGACCCACAGCAATAAGGGTATTGCTTAATGACAAGCATTCTCCCTGTTTTTGTTGAAATGTAAGGAAGACAAGGTGGAGCAGCAGGTAGGGCTGGGTATCCCAGCTAGCGCCCTGCCTGCCAGGGAAGACCAGCAGCCTTGTGTTAGCATAGGACACCAAAGGGAAACAGCAGCTGTGTACTGTAGTGTTAATAGTGGAAGCAAAAACACTGCCAGGATTTGTCATGTTTAACCTGTTTTTAGAACTAGAAAGACAGTCAATGTCTCCATGAGCTGTAAATAGGTTGGCAAGCCTATGTGCTCCTGCATAGCCCCCAACTATAAGCCCACAACAGCACCACTACTCCCCTGCAGCTGGGGTCTGTTCAGAGCTCAGGAGTATATGTGCAGCACTAGGGGCACATCATGGTTTGCAGTAGCCATCAGTGGAATGTTTCCCCCAGCTAAAGAAAGATGCCTCCAGAAAAATGGGTATAGCTGTGTGGGGAGAAGCACGGGGGGAGAGACTTCCAAGCACTACCACAGAAAGACATGACTGGGAGAAGGGAACCCCTATTCCATGGGTGCAGCACAGTTCCAGGCTGGGAAAGGAGTCACAACTGCTAGATATAGATGGAAATACACCTCCCTTGCTCCATGCAAGGGGTAGGGAGGTCTCAGGTTTTATCTCTAGATACAAATATTGCTGTTGCTCTCTCAAGCAGCCATTTCGCTGAACAGCAATTAAAATCACAAAAATGAGGACAGTTGTAAACCTACCTGTTTGAGGGCAATTAAAGCAGACAAGAGCTGGTTCAAATAGGCTGGAGGAAGCTGGGCTGTGCAAGCAGGCAGAGCTGTCCTCCTAACTCCCTGTGCTCCACAGAAGTAGGGTTAAACTCAGACAGCTTCTCTTAAAGGCCTTTCCATTCATCTCCTGAAGCACTAACAGTTGGCACGCAGCTACAACACTAAAGAGCAGTCCTGGCCATGACAGACAGACTTTCCTAGCATGGCACCAGAGCTCCTTCCCAGTATCCCTTTGTGCCAGCTGAGGGCTGGAGGTCACATTCCCACAATACTCTCAAGAGCAGCAGGAGAGATAGCTGAGGAAGGCAGCTGAGGGCACGCGCAGGCATGCACACATGCATCATCCAGGAAAGCAGGAAGAGGAAAAAAAAAAAAAAATAAAAAAATGGGTTTCAATAGAAATCTTTTGCTTTAGCAGCCCTGTAGCTCCCCTTCTGGCCCTAGATTATCCAACCAGGTAAAAAACAAACAAACATTTTCTCACCCAGAAGGAAGGAGTCAGTTGATTTCAGCATCACAATTATACTAACAAAAACCTCTACTAATAAATAAATAAAAGCAGCCTGAACAGCCATCAGAGCTTGCAGGCTCCCTTGAGAGCAACGTGGCAGGCCAGAAAAGGACTGCATACCTACTGGGGGGTCCTACTAGAAGAGTCCTGCCTGAGCCTCCCCTGAAGGTGCTGATGCAGTTTTGCAGAGGCCGTCTGGTTTGTATGTGTGAAAGGAAACTTCCTGAGCCTGTGAGCAGCTGCTCTCCCCTTGCAGGATGCTGCTGTGTGACCCTGCCCCCAGGGAATTCAAGTTGAAAGCGTTTAAAATGGAGAATTCATCCCCAGCTTTGTTTCAAACTGCAACTTCTGCCTCTTTTGGTAACGGACCCGGACCCTAGAGGAGACAGGAAAAATAGCAGTCAGCACATGGAAGGGCAAAAGGCAGAGCTGCCCCACTACAGTTCCTGAGCTGCACAGCCCTGAGAAGCAGGGGAGCCCTCTGGCCAGGGCCCTCCAGTACTAAGAGGAGAGTCAAATCTAGAGAGCAGCCCATGATCTCACACCTACCCCCACCAGCAAAGTCCTGTCTCCAAGGCCACCAGACACAGTGCAGAAAGGTCCAGAAACCCCTCCCACGAAGAGAAATGGAAGCTGTACCCCAATTAACATTCCCTGCAATCCCCACTGCCTTTCCCCATCAACTCTCTTGAATCAGTGTTCATTAGCATTAACTCCCAGCTCTACCTGCTTCCTGTACTAGGAAGAACTTTGCCTGCCAATTCTTGGTTTCAGCTACTTTATGTGGAAATGGATCCCACAATCCAGGCACTGTGTGAAGACATTATTTCCTCTACTGTGATTCATTATTTCATTGTCCCTCCTGGGACAAGATATAGAGAACAGCTCTCTCCAAGCCACACTTGGCATCTCACAGATGTTGGCTGTCTCCCTTTCACTAGGGGGAGATAAGGAATTTTGGTCTCAGTGTCCCTGCCCTCTTCTGACCCTCCTTCCTCCTCTGTACTTCCTTTCTGAGAGTTGGAACATGAGCATGCACACAATAGCCAGGTGATTTACACAGCACAGTCAGATTTTCCTTTTTATTCCCCACCTGTTCTCTGTGTATTATTTCTCTGCAGCTCAAGACTAAGCTGCTCCCATACCTTATTTCATGCAGCTTGACAATCTCATTGATGATAACCACCAGGATCAAGGAAAGAAAACCCAGGAGCCACGAGACTGGAGAGATGGAAATGTACTTAAAAGTCAGTGGAGAACTGAGGTTTTCCCAGAGCTTCAGGTCCAGCAGGGTCTGTGCTACTTGCCCCATTAATCTAAGATCATAAACAGACAGAGCAAGTTCTCAGCAGAGCTAACACACTTTTCAGGATCTGCACATCAGGATTCAGGCCCAGATAAACTACCTCCAGATTCACAACAGGGATACTTCGCCTTGCATGAAGTTCAGCACTGCAGAACCAGTGCTGCATGCTACCATTTTCCTGTGTCAGCAATCTGGTGCTGGAGAAGGTCTAGAGCCCTCCTCCCGTCAGCACTCTGGAATCCCTTATCAGGGCCTGGGGATACTCACACAATAGCCACAGTGAGCGTCCACCACCAGTTGGAGAGGGGGCTTTTCTTCCACAAGGGCTTAGTCCGATGGACATGAGTGATGGATATGAAAACTACAGAGACAGATAAAACAGAATGTTATATATACAGTGCTTTACAATATCCATCAACAGCTCTTACTCCAAAGGGGTACAAGTTTTATGTTCTTGAAACCTAGCTTTCATTCAAGGTCCTTGCAGGCCAGTCTCCCCACAGCAAACCCAAGTCCCTAAATAAGAAAAGAGGGGCACAGTAATAATACTGCACAGCATTACACACCAAAGGGATCCCAAAGCTGTTTCTCAGCCTGGTGTGCTTATGTAATGCACACCAAAAATTGACCTGTCTCTCAAATCAGGAACATTTCTGTTGACCTGGACACGCTGCATATCTCAACATGATACGTTCTATTAAGCACTGATGCGCAACATAATGTGGTGAAAAGAAAGCAGAGGCTCTTTAAGATCACAGGAGAGCAGCTGGAGCTACTCTGACAGGCAACTATGCACCGGTGATAAGGGTCAGCCAGGGCCTGGCTCCCCTCAGCCTGCAGGACTGTCACAGTCCTGCACTGATGTTTGGGAGAAGGAATGGGGGGTTCTTTATAAGATGCTGACGGGAACAGAGGGTGAGTCATATTTCTGAAGAGCAGTAGAACCCTGTTAGTTAATTTACACAAAGACAGAGGATACCTTTCTGATGCAACAGAATAAGTGCTTCCCCAGCAGGTAAAAGGCAGAATCAACTCTGAAGGTGCTGACTTATATTTATTAGGGTGATGTACAGTAATATAACAGACTTCATGTTTTTGTCAGGAGGCCATAAGAGTTTCTGCTTCTAATGGAGTTTGTGCATAGTGGGGACACAAGAAGAAACACAAGATGCATGTTTTTTTCCTAGAGCTGGGGAGATGGGTGCTGAGAGTAAGGACTCACCTGTGTGTAAAACAATCAGGCCAGCTGTGAGCTTCTGGGCTACAAGAAGAACATTGGAAAATGTCCCAAACCAGTCAGGAGCACCATGAACATTGCTAGTAAATGAGAGAACACAAGAAATAAGTTAACAGTAGGAACTTACTGCCTAACCTGCTCCCTCTAGGGCCATGTCTTGCTTTGATAGTGGGGAGAACTGGGTGTGAGATTGGAGCCAGACTCTCACTAGAAGAACTGGCCATCCTGATACCACATGATACCGAACAAGGCCAGCTTTTGCCTTAAAGATGTTATTGTCAAGGCTAGGAAGAACACTGTAAAGACATTAAAGTTAGCTCATGTAAGAGCCTGAAGCTTGTTAGAGGGGGATCACTTCTACCTGGGAATAGCAAGAGGGTGTACAGTGCCAGACTTGGTTCCTCACCTGTGCAGCATAATGGAGGGGCAAGCTGTAAGATTGAGGCTGGTAGTATTAACCTCTTTGCAGGACTCATGCAGTGTGAAACCGAAGCAGATGAGGCAGGAACAGATGGTCACGCTGAATTTCAGCAAGAAGCAGAACAGGAAGTAGTGCTGAGTCTGTGGATAAGGGAGAGGCAGTAGAGTGACACAGGCATGTCATTGGCCCAAGGTCCCCAACATGAACTATCAGAGGCTGCAGTACAGTTTATGGATGTTGCACTGTGAATCTGCTCTGTAGGCACATGGGCAACAGGAGATTCCCCTTGTGTCCATGCCAGAGTTTTAATAAGGATTGCTTACACCACAGATCAGTTTACTGAGTTATTTCGGAAGACCTACATTAGCACAGGTTCTCAGCTATGTGTCACTGTGTGGACAAAGAGAAGGAAGGGGGAAACATTCTCATATGACGGGCCACCTACCTTCTTAGGAATAGAAGTCAAGTTTTTTCCTGTTGCCATGGTCATGATGGAGCTGTGGGGAGGCTTGCCCAGGAGTGAAATGCTGGAGAAAGGGAGGTCAGTTTCTCATTAATGAGTTCAGGCACCAAATTTTTTGCTTTGTGGACTAACATTTGAAACTGAAGAACGTTCTCTGACTGGAGCACTGGCACTTCAGTGGTGAGTACTTGAACTATGCTCATATCCCACTCTTTCAGGTGCGTGCTGTTGAAGTTCTCAGGCATGGCAGGAGCAAACAGAGAGAGGCAACTTGTAACTGTGTGATAGGGAAAATTGACTAGTGGCACCTTGGCCTTTGCCTAATGCCCTATGCTCTCCATCACACCTCAGCCAGTGCAGCAGAATCAGGATTAGGAAATTATTCTCGGGTGAAAGTTCAAACCATAAGATAAAAAAAGCTCTCAGGTAGCATGCAGAGCTTACAAAGCAGTACACAAATACTCCTATTTGTATTTTCCAGCATCTTGTCATAGAAGGCATATAGAAGCCTCCTTAGCATGCTGTGGGTGATGTCACTTCCTTTCCTGATAGACACAGTAGGTTAGGGGACTTGTCTGTGTGGTAGGTGGTTGAAAGCAGGATGTTTCACCCTGCCTGACAGACTCACCTGAGCAGTGGGTAGCAGAAACAAGAGAGCCACACAATATCTGTGGTACTTAGGATGGGAGGCAGCTGTACCAGGCAGGACAGGAACTAGACAGGAACAGTCCAGAGTGAAGAGTGTGAGCAGTGCTAGGACAGCCCCGTTACCCCCAGGCGCCACCATCCTCCCACAGAACACTAGTGCAATCTGGTAACTAGTGGGCTGCTGCACAACCCTTCCATACTTTTTAGGCTGTTAGGGCAGATGCAGTAGGGGATGCTTTTCTCCAAGGAAAAATGAGTAGGAGAGAAACTTCTGTAAGAGTATCAAGGAGAAGGGGGAGTGTGGACTGTGACCTTATAATCTTTATTGTAACTTTTCCAAACATGCTGTATTAAACTGCCTGAAGGCTATTTCCCCACCTTGCAAGGCTGCCCTGCTGCAGCCACCCAGTATCCTTGCTAGCACCCCTGTCTGCTGACCTAAATGCTGTCCCCAGTCAGGCCAGGATTCACCTGAATGACGACCAACGTCAACTGGCACTGCAGCAGGAAGAGGAAACACTTGCGGATCCCATAAGTTGCATGCCGGGCCTGGAAGGAAGCACAAACCCTCAGAGCCCTCACTGTGATGGGAGCAGGCAGGGGCAGATCGTGTAGCCTGCAGGAGAGGAGAAGCATCCTGCCTAGATGCACAGGTGGTGATGGAAGGACAGAATTTAACCAAAGGGTAGGTTTGTTTAAACCTCCTAGATTTTCTCGGGTAATGCCTCACTGTAGCATGTGTTTTCTCCAGCTATGGAATCTCAACAAGTTTATACTTCATTCAGTTGAATTACTTTCTTGTCGTGGTGCCACAGGGCACCATTCCCAAGTCATCCTCTATACTTTGGACCAGCAGGGTCAGACAGGAAGAATCTTTTGTGCTTTCTGCACAAATGACAGGAGACCCAAGCACAGCTAATGTTGGCAGCTCACTGGAGGCAACTCAACAAGAATGCTCACACAGGCTCTTGGCTTTGCTCCTCATGAGCTGCAGGCAGAAAGGGGCGGGCCAAAGACAGAGAAATCTAGAAAGGGAATATGTCTGGCTCACCTGCTCTATAAGTCTTATAATGCTGGTACTCTCTTCTTGGCGGAAGGACATGGAACAAGGCAGGCTATTGAGCTGTCCTGAGAGCTGCAGTGGGGTGAGCTCATCAGAGGCATGAGTCATGGTGGTGCTGGTGGCATAGCCAAAGGTCTCCCAGGAGCAGCGGGATGGGTAGAGAGGGTCCAGTGCTATACTGTGTGGACAACACAGGAGCATTAGGAAAATACCTCATCCCAAAGGAGAAACTGTTCTCCACTACAGGCCAGTCTGTAAACTCACGCTGTGCCATGCCACCCCTATCTGCCTTGCTGGTAATTAAGTCCTTATTTGAGATATGAATTCAGGATCAATCATCCCAGGCTTTCAGTTATTCCCAGAGAAATAATGAATATATTCTGATGTATGGCTCAAGGTCAACAAACTGGTTGATCCAGAGGGGCACTGCCACTATTTTGCACAAACAGGAAGCTTTTGCATTTCCAGTTGGCGAGCAGTATTTCAGCAAGTAAGAGTAACAGCTTCCTTTCTAAGATAGAGAAAAATCTGTATCAACAAATCCAAGCAGTCACTTGACTCAAAAATAATGGGATCCCACCCAACACCATTCAAAATGTCCCTTATAGTGACACAATTAGCTAACAATTATAAACAAAGCAATCCTCCTGACAGTCCCCCGGTCTGCTGTGACCCATGGTTGGGCATTGTATAACCCCAAGGCAAAAGAGGACTCTGGATCCTGTCCTACCTGATATCACTTTGCAGGAAGAGGCAGCTATTCCGCAGGTTGGCAGAGCTTCCCAGACAGCAAGTCACCTCCCCGTACTCCTGCATGATCTTAATCATCTCACACATGGCTGCAAGGAGACCGAAAGAGAAAGTGCATTATCTTATTAAGTGTGTAGGTTTCACACACCCTTTCTAGTCTGAATACTGAGCAGAGAGATCTTTTAAAATGACCCCTCATGTGTAATCAGATTCAAAGTCAAAGGACACAAACAGATGGGTAATTAATTGCAGTTCACGTGCCCTTTTATCTGCCTACTGAAGGAATTGAGCTGTGATTCACAATGCTGTGACACAGAGATCTGTACCTCTAGCATGCCTCTTTCTGGCCAGAGTTCTAGGTATACCCTGGTTGTGTAAAACAAATGACATCAGCATCAGATGGTCTTGCTAGAAAACAGCAGAAACTAAATTTACTTTAATTCAAACCTGAAATACACAATCTCAAATTCTGCATCAACTCACTGCTCTTCTAAGTCTGAAGGAACAAAAAGAATATAACGAAGCACACCATGCTTAGCCTTGCTCAGAGCAAGTCCCTGTAACTCCAATCCCAGCCCTACCTCTAAGCCCTCAATCTTTTTATTAACGTCTTCTTGAGGACTCTAAATCAAAACTGCTTTTTGATCTGACTTTCCTTCTGTAGCTCTGTGCACAGTACTCTGCGAATATGAGTTTTCTAAAGAGGTCAAGGGAAACAAAACACCCATCTTCTCTGCAGATGCCTATAAAACAACTAATCTAAATGTTTGGTGCACCTGGGTCTGCAGAACAGCAAGAGGTTAGATGAAGTGGGGAAGTGCAGAGAAAGATTAAATACACTGAGCACCTAGGCAGACTGGTCTGTAGCTGGTTCTCATTGGCACTCCTTTGAACTGTGCCCAGAAGTACCTGAAAATGTCAGATCATCATGATGCTTGGGATTTATACTGAAAATAGATTGCCAGGGATTAGTGGCCCGTCTTACCCAGAACACCATCATTTTGACATCGGCTGTGAAGCTTGGCAAATACTGGCAGGAGCTCGCAGAGAAGCTAGCCCAACTCACGAAGCAGCAAATAGAGGCTTATGAGATACCCCATCAAGGGAAAAGTGGAGCAGTGGCTCTGGAGGTAAAGTTCTGGGTAATGCAATGTGCACCCTCGCTCCTTTCCAGGGACTTTTCTTCTTCCTTGCTGTGTGTAATTTTTTCCTTTTATAGTTACTGCCTCTGTATTTAGTTTGTAATCTCTTCAGGGCAAGAAATTCTCAGGACAGGTATTTGCCAGCTGAGCAGTCAGGCCTTTAGATAAAACAGTGTTTCTGTGAAAAAGAAATGTTGTTCTTTTTGGTCTCTGCAGTCAAAAACTGCAAAGCAGCTAGTGGTGCCATGGTAACTGCCAGAGAAAAGTACTTCTGGGAGGTGATTTCTGAGTTACATAAGGAAGCAAAGGTTCCTAGCACACTGATAACCCTTCATAAAAAGCAGTAGCATTGTGGATGTTTACTTGTGTCTTTTTTTTTTTTTTTTTATTACAAGTGAAGTTACTCTTAGCTCATTTCTGTAACTAAGGAAAGTTGTATTAAGACAAAGGTCTGCCTCCCCTCAGGTAGCAATAGATGGTCATTAATATTAAAATACCCTTTTGGATTTCTGTTCTGTTCTGTGTTATTCACTAATAATTCTGGTCCACACCCAGAAGAGCCAGAGAATGTGCAGGGAGAAAGTAATTACACCTAGTTCTAGGACAGACCCAGGCTCTGTGCCACTTACTCTCTGGGGTGCAGTCTGTGAAGAGGGGCACCAGCAAAGGCACATTGTCAATGTTTTGCAGGTGAGGTCTGACCTGGTGGATCCCCCGTGGAAGTTTGGCCTGAAAAAGACAAAGAGGAGACTAAGCAGGAGTGTATGTACGAGGGAGGTAGACAACGAAGAATTGCTGAAATTATAATGATGGCTCCCAGGATAAATGCAGACAGAAGCTGCCTTTCCAAGGCCACTAGAAGAAGTCTTCCTACTGAAGTTCTACACTGATGTACCAGGCAGTCTGTGCAGTCCTTTAGGGTTTGTACGACCACAAAAAAACAAAACAAAAAAACCAAAACAACATCTGTCTCAAGAATTTGTAAGGAATTTTTATCTGTGTGTAGAATTTGGTTAGGGAATATGGGCCATCTGCCAGCACATATACCTGCTACTGCAGTTGCAGCCATATTACACAGCAAGGGAATGAATTTTGCTTCCTAAACACAGCCCACTTTTTATAAACTTTTAAAAGATTACTTTTATAAATATGTATCTATAAGATACTTCTGTAACCTGTGCTGAGCATGTCTCAGTTTCTGGCAGGAAAAATATGTCCCACACCCTGACTGCTGGCCAGCACCAGCTACTACTGCTCATGGATGGAGGTTAGAAGTTTCTTCCATCTATGTACAGTGCGAGCATGTTTCCGCTCCTCCCCCAGCACATGGCAAGGGAATCCAGACAGACTGAGATGAGCCTCCCAAGACCACTCTGCAGGTCATTATCTCCTCTTTTAAAATCCAGAGAAAATATATGTAAATACATTCAGTAAAAGCAATTAACCAAGAGATTATCATTAATCCCAACCCCTAGTTTCCAAGCCATATGAACCAGTCAACAACTGGCTTGAAAAATGAATTCTCCAATATGCTGTTATGATTACAGTGACCCTGACAATACCACAGAGTGTATAGGGAGAGGGAGCCTCACCCTGTTACAGTCTTCCAAGAAGCTTGGGATGTCGCTGTCTGTTGGCTGAAAGCTGATGAGATCTGAATGCCCTTCCTCTTCCATTAGCAAGAGCCCCTCCACATCATCTCGAGAAACTGGAGCAGAGACAGCACAAACAATAAGCCCAAACCCACCTCTGCCATTCTTGTGCCAATTACATGATATATTCACACAGCATTGCAGAAGCAAGGAAATGTGAAGCCTTATTTTCTAGGTTAACACTTAGATCCCCCTCAATCATCTAAGATGCAGCTTTTTTAGATGACTAATGTGTGCAGAAGTAGATATATGAGCCTAGTCTCTGCTCTTTTGATACATGAAAGTTTATCTGTTCTGTTCTTTCTTTTAGAAGAAGAGTGTGATGGAAGCCTGCTTAAAGTAAGAGAAGACTAATTAACAGGTAAGAGACTGATTTCCAGTGGCTTAACCACCATTTTAGCAAGAACCAAAATCACTGATGAGCATTTGTAAAAGCATGGCAATTTGTGCACAGAAGGATGCTTGTTTCCAACAGCTAGAGCACTGCCTGGGTAGGAATGTATAAATGTATATATACACATTTATAAGTGTATATATAAATGAAAGGCTCTCTCACTCACACACGCACACACCTCAGGCCCACCTTGATTTGTGCTCAAAGATCTAAAGGATCAGATATCTGGTGAGGAAACAGAATCCTATGAACGGGTTTAAGGGAACCATTCTGGAAATGTGGCATTCAAAGCAGATTAGGTGGAGTTCTCTCACCCTGATGTAGGTCATCATGCAGAGAGCCAGCATGGCTGGGACTGGAAGGAGGGATCTCAGATCCAGGCACATCTCCATTGGGTGTTAAAGATATGTGACAATTCCAGCCAGTTTCAAGACCCATCTTCTCAGCAAACACCTAAAGGAGAGCAGGCAAAAGAGTTTAGTATAGCTATCCACACAAAGAGCACTGCAGACCAATGCCATATTGGAGCCTAAGTACCTTCTGGACCCCGTAGGGAAGTGAATCAAGTTAACCTTGGAGCTAAACCCTCCAGTTCGACAGCTGGGACATACAAGTTCAGGGGTCAGCAAAGACAGCTTACCTTGCTTTTGAGCTCATCTTCCAAGGAGAAGTAGACAAAACGAATGCAGGCATTGACCAATCCATCAATAAGGCGGACAATGTCAAGACGGGCCTGATACTGAGATGAGACCATTCCCATGAAGATCTGTCCACTCAGAGCCTGGATGCAGTCCTCCTTCTCCATCACTTCCCCAATCCCTTCTTCAAGCATGCAAACAGCGTGCAATCACATTGAGACACAAGAGACCAGATGCGCGTCAGATAACAATACACAAGGTGGGAGAGGCCATTAAGGTAATATGCAGGGACATGGTATCCAGACACAGAAACATGCAACACACACACACACACACACACACACACACACACACACACAGAGGAAAGTTAAGAGGCATCCATTTGTTCCAGCACAGCCAACCACAGAAGCAGTTTCAGAACATTCCCACACGTGAGAATAAGAGTATGAAACAGCATGTAAAGAAAAAAGACAAAACAGAAAACAGGGATCAGTCACGAGAAATTGGCGCAAAAAGGTAGAAGATATATGCTGCATAACATTCGCATATGCATTTTAAATACATCATGCTGTGTTTATAAGTATGGTAAGTCTGGCTGATGCAAAGAGGCTTCAGAGTACAAGAGGCTGATGTAGAGGAACTGGGTCATGTTCCCCCGAGAGACATTGCAGATGCTTCCAAAGAGCCTGCAAAGGCTCTTTGAGAGTGTTCCATCACCATCACCACCTGTGTAAATGGGAGCTGGATACAGCATGAGGAACAAAATAACAAAACACTTTATACAGTCACAAAGTTTGCCACAGGTGAGACTGAAAAGTGTTTTGAAAACACGCAGTCACTACTGCTTCACAGATGTTGAAAACCCTATTACTCACATTTTACAGTATGGGAGACCAAGGCAGAAACAGATTAAGGTTAGTCTTACAAAAGAATTTCCTGTATCGCCTTATGTAACAGTATGTGCTTATTTCTCAGTTGCTGTTCTGGAGGATAGGTACAATTCTACATCTACTGGGAACCTTATCCTTCAGCACAGCAGCAAAATCCATCACAGGAAAGTAGTCATATACACCTTCAAACATTTAGTTGCTTTGAAAAAAAAAACAAGTGACTTCCGTAAAGTCAGTCAGACAGCATACTAAGCATCAAAATACCCAGGAGTCTTGACTCACAATTGCCTGCATAAAGAAACAGACTTCCCAAGGCAAAAAAAAAAAAACCAACTGTGCAAGCTTTGATAGCCAAACTAGAATCATACTAAGCAGCTGCTGCATCATTACTTCTTCTGGAAATGCATCTACTTCAGACACTTTTATTGCTTAATTAGTGCAACAACGTTCTTACAGCTCTAGACCAATCCGAAAGAAAGCACCTGGCTAGTAGAATAACTTCTTATAGACAGAACAGGAAACACATACACACCATCTGAGCTCCAGCTATTCCTCCGACTACTCTGTTTGATGGGGGTTGTCCCAGGCAGATCACAGCATGTGAAGATAGCACTCTGTCCAGGGACCTGCACCAGTTCTATGCACTTGCCATTGAGCTGGGAGGACAAGGCACAATGCATTGGCTTGTATGCAAAAGCTGAACAGTACCCTGAGAGGCAGGCTCGCTGGTAGAAATCTAACACCTTCTTCCTGTATGGAAGAGACAAAAAACAGATTTAGCAGAAATGTGCTGCATTTCTGACAACGTACAAATAGTTTGATACAGAAATCACCAACTGGGTAGCTGGAAAAACATGTTCTGTGAGGAACAGAGCTGTGTTCCAACAGAGGCAGTGGTGAGCATTGCTGCATGTTGATTAGACAAATTGATGAATATGAACACAGCACTCTTTGAACAAACTTAATGATATGCCTTATGTGACTGACAGATGACTTTAATGTATGACAGTAGAAATATAATTAATCAGAGTTTATTTATATAAGATAAACATGAAGCAACTCACAACTCTGACAGCAATATTTACAGCAGATAGCTACAGTAACAGACTTTTTTGATATTCCCTTTCATAGTGTGGGTCCCAGAAGCTGTATTTCAAGTCTACATTTAGACAATATTTAGTCACTAGAATAGTTTAAAGTTCCTTCCCTAAGCTGAACTCATAAAGGCAACAAATTCGAATGTACATGGTATTTTTCCATTGGTTGCTATTCAATAAAACTAAACATTGCTAGTCTGTCTGTTCTGCTAGAAGGAACAGAAATTTGTCTTACGGATAAAATGCAAGAGACATTGCCAGATACTGAACAGATACAAGACTAATAGGGTGTGATGCATTATGATGGACTGGTTTGAATGTGTCAACAGTAGGAAGAATTGATCACTTTCCTGTAATACATAAGCCATTTATTGAACAACAACAACAATTCTTTGCCACCATCACATGATCAGATTAGAATTCATCATTCTGCTACATGGTACAGTCACAGTCCACTTCTAAGAGGACACTATGTCAACAGATAGAGTATGAAATGGTTTAGTCATACATTGTTATTTCTTGACATCTCATCTTCTATACTGCTATAATTATAACAGTTAATTATAAGCAGAGACAACTTATGTTCATAACCTACTTCAAGCTTCTATTAAATAGCTTTTAATACAGTGACCAGGTTCCTGCTGCAATTTAAGTGCAGTCCCTAAATGCATCAAATGACAAGATGCTCACCTGTCAGAGCCAGAGAGGGGGTAAATATCAGTACCATCCCAGAAGTCTGTGCAGGCTTCAAGGATGATGTCGGCTGTCCCATGTGAAAACATCTGCTCAGTACCTGAAATACAGGTAAACAATGAGTCAGCAACACACATACAGGATCCCAGGCAAGAGATCATACTAACTGCTCCTTTGTTAAAATAGTGGTTCTTTGATCCACTGGTTCATGCTTTCCTCCATGAAGTCCTCAATTCCCCTTTAAGAAATTATTCAAGATTGAATAATGTATTCAGCTGCTACTTGTCCAACTGCAAGTTCAAACAAGGCTGTGATAAAATGTGAGGCAGATGATCGGTTTCTATTCTATTATATTGTATTAACAATCCCACTCCTACAGAAGCTGGGAAAAAAAAAAAATCTTGCTCCTGCATGCAATGGTACAGAAGAAAAGATATCCTTGTGTGCATCTTCTCATGAGAATATAAGCATTGATGAAATGCTCATGCTAGCTAATGAAATCAAGAGCCAAGAAAATACACTTCCACAAATCCGGCAGGGACCTTCAGGAACACCGGGGAATTTTCCAAAACATAGCAGCTCTCTGCTTTCTGCTACAGAGAGTCATTGTGCACCAAGTTTATCAGAGTAACAATCCTCCAAGATGAATAGGAACTGTGCATGAAAGAAGGAGCCTGTTTCAGGGACATAAAGGAGTACTTGTATGGCATTAATTTTATTGCATAAACACTTAATCCTTCCCACCTAGGTCCTATGGTCGGATAGTCCTTGCTGGGAAAAAGACAACAAGACTTTCACGGAATGTCTATGCCCCAGACAGAGACCAAGAACGTGCACATGACACATGTGCACACACCTACATTTGTATCTGACAGCAACTGCAATCTTTTCCCATATGATTTCCATACAGTGTCAACAGCATGCCACACAACAGTTCCTCTAAGGGACAGATGACAGTGACATCATGTCCTATAAACTGGAGGGCACTCAGTCAGCTGTCCAATGTTAGCTCAGCCTCTTTCTTCTCTAAGTCACGAACATGAAGGACAGAATTTCTCTGGCACAAAGGAGAGAAAAGATGAACAGGACACAGAAGACAGCTACCCATTCATGAACGCTGATACTCATTAGAGAGAACTAGGCCTCTAGAGCTGAGCCAATGAGAGCAAAAAGAAGCTAAGAATGCAGCTACAGCAAGGGAAATTGGGCAGTATTGCGCCACTTTACTTTGCTGAGAATTCAGGCGAGCCCCTCATTTCCACGTGGTTACTAACGATTTGGGAAGAATGCTGCCAAAGGGAAGGCATGTATTTCAATGGAATACTAAGGGAAATACAGATAAATTACCTTCTGTTTCTGCTACAGTTGTCAATTTATGTACATCCCTTATGTATGTGGGAGTGGGTGGATTCAAAGATTTATTCACAAATAGTGAATCATAAGAAGTTAGTTACAGTATTCTGGTCTGACTCAGTGAAAACACAATTATTTGATTTCATGCAATAATATCTGCATAATCCATTATTTGTTTGCACACATTTTAGAATGTTTCAAGGACCAAAACTATCACATGACAAGTACCCCAATGGTTAAATAACCTTGCTCGCAAAACTCCCCTTCAAACTTACTCTAGACAGCATAATCCAGGTCACACATGTATTCGTCTGAGCTCCAGCCTATGAACTAAACCGTTTAAAATTGAGGATAAGGAGTTGAAATGAGGCAACACTGAAGGTTTTCATCTACACTAAGTATCAGCAAAATTCTTGCTCACAAAGGCAAGATAGCAGCTATTGGGACAAACAAAAAAGCTCTTACATAAATTAAGATACAAGTTTAAGAAGAAACAAGTAAGAGAAGCCCCATTTACTTGATAAATCTTGGGCCAATATAGTAGTTGTATTTCAGATTCAATATTGAACAAACTCCAACTCCAGAAAGCTGAGTTCAGTCAATTAAAGGTATTATTAAGAGACTAAGACCTCTGCTGGGCAAACTGTTAAATCTTGCTAAGGTGCTTTTAGAACCTCACTGCATCCATCTGCACATTCCTTCCATCCTAGCCCCTTCCTATTGGAACAGGAGCAGTAGGAGCGGAGAAACCAGCATGGCCTCAGGGGCTGCATTCATGATCATCATGGGTTTGCCTAAGATTTCTGTGATTTCTTATTATAATGTAATACAGAAATAGAATACATAATACACTACTACACTGTACAACTTACTAATAATAATTTATGATTTGCGTTATGAGAAGGATAAGCATCACTAGCTATTACCCTGAGAAATATTCAAACCTGTGCAGTATCAGTTTCACCAACCAAATGAAGACTATTCAAAACCCACCTTGTTCTACACTGCTATTTGGTCCCAGAAAACAGACTTGTCAAATACTAAGACAATTTTTAAAAAAATATTTCATGATCCTTGAATGATCCAGGGTTGAGAAGAATTCCCCCTTTCGGTATTCCGTAGCACTGATCATTTAGGTTTGTTGAACTTATCTGTACTGATCATAGGCAGAGCAAGGCTATCACCAGTCAGTTGGAGTCTCCAAGCTGTTCCTGAATATTTTCTAGGTTCTCCAGGAAAAAGATGCTCCTGACCTACGTGGACACACAAAGAAAGAGGCAGCCTTACTGGTTGTGGTGTCCTTCACAAACAGGTTAATCATGTGAGTCAAGGGTGGTCTTCTCTTGGTGATTGATGAAAGCTTCCCCAGCATTGTCTCCTTAACCATCTCATCGCTTGGCAAGCGGTACAAGGCCAAATAATTCTCCTGCTTGAAAAGATCTTTGGCACCTGGTGTGAAACCTGAAACATGAATATGAGGAAAAAATTAGACAGGAATATTCTTTTGCTTTGGTTACTATCTCCTGCTTCTGTGCCATCTATCTTGCCTGCTCTCATTTTGACTTTCCCCAGTAATAGGTAGGTTAATTAGTGCTCACAGAGCATCTACGCCAAGATGTTCCAAGATTATGATGAAAAATATTCAGAAGGACTAGATTTTACTAGTAATTACAGCTTTCATGATTCTGATTCACTGAAGAAAGGAGCTGTGAAGAACAAGCACAGAATTGAGTTCAAAAGCTTTCAGATTACAATTCTAGTGCTGCATCTTACCTCCTGTGTGCTTCAGTTTTCCCATCTATAATATTAACAGAGGTACACAACATCATTTATACCCAATCTCATGGTAAAGCACTGTGGTAAAGACAGAGCATCTATCTTTCCATTAGCAGCTCTTTTTGTCCCTGAACACAAACTGCAGATTCGAGCCAGGAGAATACCAAACCTAGACTTGGTATTAGACCTAGGGCTTGCTGGAAATATCCTTGATGATATTTTTTCCTTTGCTAATGTCTACAGTATCTGAACTTTCCAAAGCACCATCTTTAATAGATTACTTTGGCAACCTGACAATGACAGTCAGCTCTGTAATTCTACCTTCTCAGAAACCAGGTCTGAGAAAGTATTTTGCATATCCTTTCTAAGAATTAAGTGGCAGCACTGATTTCTCTGCATCCACACATTCAAGTTCTTCTTACCTATTAGCCTGGCAAGCTCACAGAGGCCCCAAGGCACGTGGACAGGCAGCACAGCATTGTGAGTTTCCTGGAGAGCTATGTTGCAGAGATGGTCGGAGAAGCGGCACAGGCGTTCTGTCACAGTGGCATTGCAAAGATTGAGCAGCACATTCAGACCCAGAGGCTTGAGGGAATTCAGGTGTATTTGCCAGTTGGAGTCATCAAACTGGATGCAAGAGGGGTTCTGTTGGTCTTGGGACAGGCTAAGCATCTCAAGGTGGTAGTCACACACAAAATCTTCAGCCTCACAAGCCAGCACCTCAGTGTCACCAGCAACCTAATGCAACAGATAGGAAAATTCTAGTTAGCTTCAATGATTACAGCTTGAGCCCAGAATCCCTCAGGGAACTCTCAAATTCCCCAAACAGAAGACTCTACAGGGTTGTCTATCTTGTAGATTCACAGAAGACTAATTGTGTGCCCCTTCTATATGTCTTACCTGACTATGTTCTTCTTCTCCACCCTCTGTGTCCTTGCTAAAACTCACATTGGACCCAGAGGGATGCTTGCTTCTGCTGTTTGGCTTTCGGTGGGCATGGGCATCAGGAGCCTTTGGAGGGTCGCTAGACCAGTTGTTCCTCTCTTGCTCATTAGTCACATGGACTGTGTCTGCCAAAGGGCCAGAGAGCAAAGCATCTCTTTCATGGGGCTGCAAAATACCAACAAAATGAACAGTGGTGATTCAGCACTTGAACATGAACAACTTTTGATTAATATGCAAAATAAGTAAACTCTTCAAAAGGGCTGACAACAGCACGACTAGGGGAAATGGATCCAAGTTGAGGGAGGGAAGATTTAGGTTGGATGTTAGGGGGAAGTTCTTTACAAGGAGAGTGGTTAGGCCCTGGAACGGGCTGCCCAGGGAGGTTGTGGATGCCCCGTCCTTGGACGTGTTTAAGGCCAGGTTGGATGGGGTCCTGGGCAACCTGATCTGAATGTGTATGTTTGGTGGCCCTGCTAGGCAGGAGGGTTGGAACTACATGATCCTTGAGGTCCCTTCCAATGCGGGTGATTCTGTGAAAATGTGCTGAAGTGGTGACAGAGAGAAAGAGAAGGAAAAACACTGTTTTACGACTCCTATAGAAGAGGACCTCATCCTCATAGATCCTTAATCTTATAAGCAAAGAATTATGGTCACAAGACTTCTGCACAAGCAAAGAGACCCTTCTGTAATACCAAACTGTGTATGTCAGTCATAGTATGCTTACAGCTAACATGCTACATTATGGATTACATATCCCTCACCTCATCGTCCATCTCAGGGTGGCAGAAGGACCGTGTAGAGAGCTCATCAGTCAGATCTTCATGGCTATCATGACGTGGTTCCACCTTCCCACTGAAGAACAGAACAGTCTCTGGGCTAGGATTTGGCCAGGAGAGAATCCCCTGCTTGTCTACACAGCAGAGCACCTAGAACATCCCACAACACCCCCAAGAATGCAAAATTTCAGTGAAAACACATCTAAGCATTCACACACAGTTGCAAATATCATCAAGTTGAATAAACATGTAGGAGGCCAGATAAGTCCCTCCTTCATCAACCTTCTATCTTAAGAATCTCCAGCATCTGATATTTCCCCATTCTACCTGGACTGATTGGTTGTTTAATACCAATTTGACCTTGGGATTGCAAAATCAGGCATGAAGCCCATGATAAGGAAGCAACTAATGAACCTGTTTCAAGAGTTGGCAGAAGACTGTAGAACATACAGATATCATTCATATTAGATAGCACAGAGTATCTCTCACTATTGTTTTAGCCTGTCAATATGCTTAGACACGACAGCTTTAAGATCTTCTGCAAGATACCTGAGGGGGTATCTATTCCCATCACAGTGAACTGACTACTAATAGTCTGTGCTCAGGCAAGGACTACACGATCCATGCAAATGAAGCATCTACTGAAGGCCTCTCCTAACAGCCCTCCTAACAGACCAACAGTACTCACAGTGACAGATCCCAGGCTATGGAGCAAGCTGGAGGTGAAGCTCAGTGTTGGAGATTTGCCTTTTAAAACACTTAAGAAGTGGCTCCAGATACAGCGTATCATTTCCTGCCAAGGGAAGCACAGAACATCATCTAATTAAAGACTCATTCAGAGAAGACAAGGGGAGAGAAGGAAAAATTATGACATTACCTGCTTTCTGGTTCAACACAGTAACACACTACAAGATAAACATCAGTCTTCGTGCGAACCTGTTAACTGAAATATGCTGTTGTTCTCAAGGGAAGGCAGTCCTTTCTCACAAAAGATACCAACAGAAATTTTGATTGCTAAATTGAGAATTCACTGAAACTACCTTTGCTTATCCAAAAACATAGGAAGAAATTCTAAAGGGATTTCTTTGAACTAATTTAGCTGGTACCTCTTGGTATTTTTTTCCTCTCATCCTCTCGGAGTAAGGAATGTGAGGCCCTGCCTTACGCTTTAAGATAATCACACTGCAAACTGGGTAAAGTCACTGGGGAAGTGACAAAGTTGGAAATGAAGTTGAGGTGGGCTGACTACTGACTGCATCATTATAAATGAAGCATGTCAACACAGTAATAAATGGAAGGATGGAGATAATCTGCAAAATTCAAATGTCATGGTGGCACTTGGCACCCTGTATCTTCCACATAAAAACATTTCAGAGAGGGCCTGGATGGTAGGAATCAATTCGAACACTAGACTTTTCTCTGTGTATACCCAAAGCCAGCAAAACCAGGTTTGCCTTACAATTTTTTTTTTTTTTTTTTTTTTTTTTTTTTTTTTTTTTTTTTTTTTTGCTTTTTAGCTGTTGCTCTGGAATGCTGTCACTGCAGAGATCCTTAGATCCAGTTCCTTAGATCCTAAGGGTAAGTACAGTCATGAGGCTGAATGCAAGAGCTAACACAAGGGAAAAAAAAAAAACAACACTCATTTAAACCAGTTTCTTGCAGGCAAAGTTTTTACATGGGTACAAAAGAAAAGAAGTAGGTCTCTTACAACGGGAAGGTGAACTCAAATCAATCCCGTTTCAATACCTGAAAAATAGCTCAGCTAAAATGATGAACTGGCAGAGAAGGACAACAAAATATTCAACAAAGAAAGCATGTGTCTCAATGTGCACTCCTCTATGCGGCTAGGAGCGAGGGGACATAAATTGATTCTTAGGATATGCAGGACTTTTAATTGCTTTTGGAGTTCATCTGCTTCCTTATGGAAATGGGAATCTGAATGCTAGAATAGTGAAGTGTCTTTCCTCCACCTACCTGTTTAATCTGGGTGATGCAATTTACAGAGTAACCAGATGCCGTTCCTCCCCCAGAAAACATCTCTTTCAAATGTTTATTTGCCCCAGATTTTGAAGGATTAGTAATGTGCTTAAGCTCATTAGCAAGCCTCTGAAACAAGATCAGACTTCTTGCATGAACATCCTACGCTCCTCTTTTCACATTTGGTCTTGACGCTGACCCCTGTTCTCACTGTTCTTTAGTTTTGGCTTGGAAAACTAAGTGTTCCTGGTATAAGTAAAATACTTCTTTCTGACACACACCATAAAAAAATTATTTTACTCCTGGAATAGATCTTTAAAGAGGCACTTTCTTCAGTACAGAAAAAGTTGATTTCAAATCATCTGCAATATTCAGAAAAGCACAGCTGTACTCAGTATGAAAGGTGCCTCAATTTGTGGTCAGTAGAGCAGTGTCTACATGGGCAGGTGTAGGGGAAAGACATGCAACCTGCATGCACAGCAAATTAAAGCAGCAAAAGTGTGAGAACAGACAACAGGCACAAGCAAAAACGGCTCTGGGAACAAGCATGGGATCAGAAAGGAAGGGAAAGGATATCGTGAAGATGAAAGATGTAAGAAAACAATTCATAATAAGAGTACCTGAGAAGATACCATCTCTGTGTAGCTGCTGAGAGTGTCCTCTGAAAACTTAGCAAGCTGCAGCAAGAGAAGAGACCAGTTACTATAATTATGCTCAGAAATGTGTCCTGAAGAAGATGCATCCCTAAGTACTATGCCTTTAGAGAGAAGAAAGCAAAAGTCCTGCCCTATGAGGACTCCTATACCAAGACAGATCAATAATTCCCCAAAGCAATTATGTTTTTAATGGACTACGGCAGTGGCATTATCTACTTGTGAAGCACAAAGTGCTTGGCGCTGGTATATCACAGAAGACACAGTTGTTATCTAAAAGTCTACAGAGAAAATAACAGCAATTAGACCCAGCAGAACATCTTCCTGGACGGTCACTGTAAGACAAAGTCAGTACTGACTGACCTTTTCTTAACTACACAGATCGGTTAAAAGAAAGGAACTAGATGAGAGTGACTGCAAAAGCAGGTACTTGCTGAAAGAATGAGATTATGTGAATAGGTTTTGGATAGGAAACAAAAAGAAATTATTTTTTGTAGAGTGCTACCATGAGGCTCTTGGAATAATATATATTAATATATATTAAAAAAAAACAATAACCCAAATAATAATGCATGTATCTGTCACTTAAGAAGAAATCAGCTTTAAACATCTGTAAAAAGCCAACACAGATCAGTTAGAAATAATTTAAATTGAAAATTATGAAGGATAACTAGGAACAGTTAGCAATATTTTATTTAAATTTAACAAACAACAATCCCACAGTAAAAATAATAATGTCTGGTTTTGAGAAGGAGTGAAAACAGAAATAAAAAGAAAAACTAAGAACAAGTTCACTAATCCATCGTTTGATGAAAACAGTGGAATTGCAGATGACATTGCAAGCAAACCAGATATGTTAAATACCATTACTCATTATTCAGTGATATGTTCATATCGTATGATGACTATGAAGTATTTTCCATTTTAACACCAGCAACTGAAACTAAATTTGTTTTTAAAATAGACAAATTTGTGACTGCTACTGCTGACTTTTTACCTTTTCTAGGTTTGAAGCATGGATTTAAGACCTAATGCAGTGGATGAAAGCTAATGTGGTGACAATGCCTAATGAGGATAAGGAGAACACATCAAGTTACCACAAGAGCCCAGACTGACTGTGATTTCAAACAGCATAACGGAGCAACTGATATAAAACACATATTAAAAGAACGGAAGTAGAATAATACAATCAGCACCAAACAACACAAGTATATGATATTTTTGGATAGAATAACAAACTGGACTGATAAAAGTAATGCTGTTGATGTAGTACACTTGGAACTTTGACTTGATGAAAAAGGCTTTATTAGTTTTCAAACAAAAGCTAGAGTAATTCCAGAGTAAGAAGGCCCATATCTAAATAGATTAGAAATTCATTTTTCTGATAACCAATCGTTCGCAGTAGGATGTATTACTATCTCAAGCAGGGACAAATTCTAGGTGTTCTGTTAACACCCTGAAATAAAACGCAAGGTCATTACTGACAGAGATTGTACACTATACAAAGACTGGGGAAGGGTCAGATATTAAAGAGATCAAATTGTTTCTACAAAACAGTATGGACTGCTCAGAAAATGAGCAAAAATATGCACATCAACACTTCAAAAATAAATCTGCATTCCTAGCAGAAAATATGAAATTTGGGCTAAAAAAAAAAAAAAAAAAGAAAGAAAGACTGCAGCTTAGAAAGCAGTAACTCTGCAAATTATTTGTTGAAAAAACAGCTGGCCATTTAAGGCAACGGCTAAAAAATCTACTGTGATCTTTTGTTGCACTAACAAGGGAACATAAAGCTCAAATTATTCTCAAGTTTAGCTCAAGCACAAACTGTTACTGGAATATTTATGGGTTGTGGAGATTCATAATTCTACAGTGATCCTGAAGCACTGGAGAAAGCTAAGAGGAAAGACAAAACAAATATTAGAGAATTGGCAGATACGCTTGCAGTGATTCAAGGTGTTTAAGAAGTTTAGGTGTTTAAAAAGTTTACTTAATCAAAGAGACGGTAAAAGGGATTGTGAGCAGTTACCACAGAACAGAAACTTTATTGATTTGTTCTTAAATCCATGAGACAAAGGAGGTTAAGTTTCAAGTGCTGGAAATCAGATTCTACAAAAACGCTCACATATGAATGTCAATTTTTAACACTAAATCATTACTGAAACAACCTGTCAAAAGCAGCAGGAATATTTTCAAACCAACATCAAATCCCCTACTAAAAGGAGTGCTGCTATAATGCAACCATAGTAATGAAACTTGAGGCAGGGGCTCCTTTGGGGCAGCCAGTGGTATCTGCCATGCAGTTACGACTAACTGGTCATAAGAGTTGCCTATAAAAAAAAAAAAAAAAAAAAAAAAAAAAAAAAAAAAAAAAAAAAAAAATGGAAATCAAAGAGCTTGAATGTAATGGGAGGGTGCAGAAGACAGAGAGAAGTGTCACACACGCCAAATGACTGAAGGTCTTACACTTTAAACAGAATATAGAGAATGAAAGAGTGAAATAGAAATGCCAAAAGTACACTTCCCTAGTGAAGAGTGAGAATGACTAAGGCACACTACAATGGTTTTTCTGCAGCAACAAAGATGGAGGATCGAGTTTGAGATATCACAGAAAGAGCTGGTTGGACAGAATGAGTTGCCTGTACAAGAAGATACAAAAGAACTCAACACAGGTGCAAATGTGAGTAACAAGGCAAATGGATATGTTGAGAATGAGGAAGTATGGAAGCTAAGGAGTTCTGATGCGTAGGGCAAGAGATGGTTCTAAAGATAGTAACAAAGTGATGCTGAGAATGGATGGAAAACGTAGAAAGGAGGAAACACTGAAAAGGGATGGTAAAGGTGCAATTGTGCCATTGGAGGGGGAAGCATGAGTTTATCCTCCCAGTTTAGTTGTGTACAACCTATAGGGCAGAGAACAGAAAACAGAACCAGGACCACGGAGGCCAAGGAAGAACATGAAGGAGAGAGAAACTTCGTTCAAGCACAGGCTTAGCAGAAACCAGCAGAGACAACAAACAGCACAGTGCACCTCACCAATGTTGCCACTGGGAGAAAATAAGAGACACCCATCAGCATATCCAGTTCAGAATCACATATCCATCAGACTACCAAATTTCCATTTGCCAAACCAGAACAGTCACCAGAAATTTGCCTTACTTTCTGACCCACTGGCAAGGCTAGGTCTGCAAGCCAAGCCCCAGAGCCTCAAGAAAGGGCTGCTCAGCCCACAGGTTATAACAAAGGATCTTATGTATCACATTCCTTCTCCATGGCTTAATTTCTCTAGTTATGGACACTGTGTGGCATTTATCTCCATGTTGATTCCTCTGACAGTTTACTTTTAGCTGATAGAAAGCGCATGCCTTGAAGAGATTTAGGGTATCACTGAATCTTCCTATCACCCTTGGGATATAGAATGCATTTGTAGGCCAGCTGAAAAACTGGAACATCTGTGCAAGAAAAAGTCACATGGTGCTGCAGGAAAATGATCTAGCCAGGACACTCAAAGATCCAACAGGTTTTTTTTTTATTACGTGCCAAATGCACTGTCCTTGCTTCACAGAGCCCTTCTCATCTACTGCTCCTTTCTCTGCAATGGTTTGATGTGGACAGATACCTACCAGCGAGGTGGATGAGGCCTTACTCATTTGGGCCAAGACTCTGGCTTCTCCAAAGGCTGTAGCAAGAATCCACAGGACAGGAAAAAGCAATGGAAGGATGGGCAGGACTCCATTCACCTGAAAAAATAAAACCTCCAATCACAAGTAAGCACAGAGACAACAAGAAGTTAAACCTGTTATACAACCTCTTTTCCACCAGAGTGAACTGGTAAAAGGCAACAGCATGAAGTACACAGACAGCTTGCACTGAAAGCAATACAGTATAGGGAGAGGCACAGAAGGGGAGACACACATACCCTTAAGAGTTTGTAATGAAGAAGGCTATGAATAAATTGCATCAACTTGTAGCTGTTTTTTCTTTTTTGCTGAATTTGGCATAAGCTCTTAAAGTTTAAAAGAAAAAAAACATACCACATACATATGTGTATTTACACATATGGATGCACTGTGAGAAAAAGAGAAAACAAAGAACAACACAGAAGGAACAGACAGGGTAGTGTTATTGTTCTTCACCACTGAGAGCTCTTGGGTCTGATGTGCACAGGGCAGTGCATACACAGGATGTTGTCATGGAATGAAGCAAGTTGCTGATGGAGGGAATTGCCACAGCAGTGCTTTGGGGTAGAAAGGGCTAGTGAAGCTCAGCACATTCTTTACCTGTAGCTGAAGAAGAGTATGCTGCCAAGAAGCAATTCCAGGAGCTTTGAAAATGAAGCGCACAGCATTGGTGATTAGGAAGCCAGCCTGCAATTCAGAGTTGACACCATCAGCAAATTACTGGTACTTGTAAGGAAGTTTTTGCTTCCTCATAACATTCTCAGCCCTGAGAAAAAAATCTGGAGGATACACTTGGTCTGCTGTTCTTCACTCTCATAGATGGGCAGCTCAGTAGTTCTGCTCCTCTGCACTCCTGAAGATACACGTCAGCTGCGTGAGTTAGAGCTGGGCCACAATTTCCTGTTGACGGCTGCAAATTCTTCACCTTTATTGACAAAACACAGCTATATTCAATACCAAAGGCTTGAAATGAGACCTACCAATACAATAGGGACAGCATATTTCAACATCACAGACTGTACAGTGAATCTCTCATTATCCAGGGCTGTCACAGGACGTGACAACGCCATTTCCAGACACCACCTGAAAAAACAGAAAACAGCTTGCAATTTTAGGAAACAAGATCCTAGCCCTGCAATTTTCTCAGATAGAAACTGTGTTCAGCCTTTGCTAACAAGGAGAGCCTTTGAAAGAGAAACCAAGACTCGACAGCTTTAAGATTGAGAATATCTTTTTTCCCCCCTCCCCCCAAAATGTGGCTTGCTTTCAAGTTGGAATGGATGCAGTGATTTTATAATTATCTCAAGATCCTGGCCTCTGAGTTACAGAAGCTGCCACTGGCCAGAGATTTATCAATTAATCTACATCCTCAGTCTCAATCTCTGAGATTTAAAATAATCTCAACGGGGTCAAAAATCTCTGCTATCAAATGCATGAAATCTATGACCTCCCTGCAATGTTGAAAGTGACTTTGAAAGTAATGAGCAGTAATGCATATGTTAGCATGCATGTTTTAAAATATCAGTCTATCAGCTAACAAGGACAAGTGAAGACAAACAGTAACAATCTTACAGCAAGGCATTCCTAGGTAATACAGATGACACAGCAAAGCATATCAGGAAATTCCTGGGCTGGACTGGTAAAATTTCACTTTTTTCCTGATACAAGGCATCAGCAAGGATCAAGATAAGCTGTGAAACCGTTGAGCACAGTATTTAACTCACCTGACATTATCAATTATTGGAGTCTTCAAGACACGGAACAGACGATACAGTTGAGGGTTCTGAGGTCCCTTTTTCACTTCTCCTCTTGGGGAGGGTGGAGGTGAGAAAGGTGGAAATAGATCTCCTGGCTCCAGAACTATGTGCTCATCATCCTAGAAAAGAAGTCAGTAAGCCAAAGGCTGCTCATCTGGGGCCTCAGTGGAATCCTGTTTCCGCAGACTGGAGGTTGAGTCCAGCAGCATTTCTCCCACCACAAGTGATAATACACACTTGTCACAGTTCTCTGTCAGCTCTCAAAAATTCATTAGTTAAACTGCTGCTTCAAACTTGAAGCAAAATTAAATGCTTGTGGGCCTTCAGAAGTAACAAAACACACCTGGTTATTCATGAATTTTAGCATTTCATAGAACCATGGAGTGGCCTGGGACCTCAAAAACCATCTAGTTTGAACCCTCCTGGTATGTGCAAGGTTGTCAACCACCAGACCAGGCTGCCCAAAGCCACATCTAGCACGGCTTTGAATGCCTCCAGGGATGAGGCATCCACAACCTCCTTGGGCAACCTGTGCCAGTGCCTCACCACCCTCTGAGTGAAAACTTCCTCCTAATATCTAACCTAAGTCTTTGCTGTCTTAGTTTAAAAGCATTTGGAGTAAAAGTCAAAATTAACAACAAAGGTAAGTAAATGTCAAGCTTTAAACTGTTGCTAAGTTTCTTTAAGCAGCAAACTCTTTGCATAGATTTTGCAATTGATTTGCTAATGTACTTCTATTCCAGGTAGTTTATGTTACTTTCTTTTACACTAAATCAGTAGCAAGAAGGTCAAAACAGACAAACTCACTGCTCCACATAAAAAACAGGACAAAGTAGAGGGATTGTATATCATATCATCCTACTGGACAGATTTATTATACTTAAATCAGCAGCATATTACACTTAACCCTTGACCTGGAAAATGGATAAATGGAGATATGGTGCTTCAGTATCACGTTAGTGTCTCCAGTCTGTTGGGTTTGGGTGTTTTTAAGGAAGATAGAGCTGTCTAACAAAGCACTTTCTTTGAACTGGAGTTTCAAAGCATTTCAAAGGTCAGAAGAATCAAATATTCCCATAATTCATACTTTGAGATTTCGAGTATTAATAAGAAAAGGAAAGGCCAGGGAACTAAGACAAGCAAGTTACCTTAATTCCTCTCAGAGAAGCAAACGATTCCTGTCCTGGCCTCAAAGCAATGACATCTCCTTCTACTAACAGGCTTACAGGCAGGTTCACAAGTTGACCATCCCTGTATGCCCAATGAAGGGACCAGGACGGGGCATAAGGCATATGGAGATCAGGGTACATGGAGTCTGGCCATTTCACCTCTTTGCTAAGTGTATCTGAAAGCACACGATGTGAAGGAATTACGTGATAAAATTTGGAAGAGGCCAGTCATACATCAATTTACATTTCATAGTGGCTATAGGCCCTCCAGTGCTAAGATTGGTCCATGCCCATGAACTTTAACCTTGTTAGCTTTCCCTTCCCCCCCCTCCAACCTCTATAATCAATTAAACACTGTCACATGGTAACATTAAATACATACTCATACAGTGAAAAAGCTAGGGAATGTCTTAAAGGTGTCACACTGAAATGAACTGCCACCTTGAGTTCAAAAGCCCCCACTGAGAAGATGCTTATGTACAGTAATTTATTTCCTTCTGCTCTGTGTTGTAGCACAATCTCACATTTTCTTCTTTCATCATCTGCAGCAAGGCAGATACTTTTGTAAGAAATTTGGGATTTGAATTACTCCAAAGCACAGACACAACACACACCTATCTGGTAACATACCAGATGGAAGTGCATGCCCACAACACAGCTCAAAATAATGATTCCACAGGACAGGCATGACATAGGACACAGCTATCACTCCTGTTTCTGTGTAACATAGGGCAAGGCTAGTAAGCTCAATTAATAATACATGATCAAGTTCTGGAGAAAAATCCAGTGTGGTGGAAATACAAATCCAAATGACAGACAGATGAACGAGGCCTCACCATTTATCTTATCAATGATCATCTGAAGTCTTCTCTCCACCTCTTTACACTTCAGCCTCTCCTGACGTCCAATCATGAAGAGATCCAAGAGGAGAAGGAGGAAGAGTGCCAATGCATTAACTATTTCTGCGCCTTGGCTTCGCACAGCAAAAACAGAAGAAAGCAGAAAGCAGTTGAGTTTTGAGTAAGTGAGCAGAATATGCTGCCAGCCACCCACAGAGATAAATGCACATCTGTTCAATTGTTTATTCCTACATCCCAAAGACTCATGTTTAAAAAAGAAAAGCAGAGAAGCCACAACCACACTTCTTCAAGAACCAGGGAAGTTTGAAAAGACCTTTCTCAATTAAAAAAACACCCTTACAAATACAGTCAAGCTTGTTATGGTTCTTGTAACCATAAAGTAGTTTCTCTTATGAGTCACTAACTTCTTTAGTTTCAAAATCCTCCTGAACAATTCTAACATCTCAGGATTTTTTAAGTTCTAGGAAAACTGTAGAAAGAAAATCTCATTCTCTCCACAAGATGCTCTATGGGTAGATTAGAAGTAGAATTAAGTTAGTTGAAGTTTTGTGGAAGGGAGAGGGACAGAATTGCCAGAACATGTTCACGATTACACAGAATGAGGGACAATGATGATACGTCAGCCATACACAGAATCAAGAGGATGCAAAATTATCGTTTGCTTCAGTCAACCAGTAAATGATTTTTTGCTTACTTTCCCTGTGGCTGGCTCCCAGAGCAACAGAGCAGCAACACCACTGCCAGAAGCATCAGAGATGCACCAGGCCAGTGGAAACAGGAGCAACGGTTACCATGGTACAAAAAACTGCTTCTCCATGCCTCCTACAAAAGGAAAGCAGCAGAAAGCATTCATAAAATACAAAGCTAGGTATTCAAAAAAGTAGAGGAAAGATAAAGGCAGCATTAACAGACACTCCAAGGTGAACACAACTTTGTAAATCCCTTTAGAATTAAACAGAGCATCCCAGATCAGCTATGCAAATGCTACAGCACTAAAGATTATTCAGCTGGGGAGTCTGGGTGTGCATTGCTATCTTTAGTCTTGCTCGGAAGAATGAAGAGACTTCTGTGCCAGGCTACTCCACTGTCACTATCTAGAAAGAAATATCTTTAAGTAGCATGAATAAACACTAGGACTTTGTATTCAATGCATGTACCACATAAACACGGAGGACAAGGGAAGACCGCTGAGTTCCACTTCTCTTTCTCTCCACTTGATATGGCTCTCCTGCACAAACTGCCATTAGTGGCTCAAGAAGATGTTAGATTCTTCATAGTTGAAGCTAAGCTCCTGAAGAACACCAGCAGCCACAAGAGAAGTGCTGAGAAATGTACCCCTAGGTAATTCCTTGCTTTGTTCCCAAAGACTTTGGCAGTTCTAAACCTGGAAACTTTGACTGCTGCTGCTAAGAGGAAATGCAGCCAACTTTCAGTTAATCCTCCACTTTGCTTTGAAAAGGGGAAAATGAGCAAACCCTAATGCTGTTTGGTGTCTTACCTTCCATGAAGTCACTTTTTTCCGTTCCTTCTGATGTCCCTCCAGCAGTGTTGTCAACTGGTCTCTCAAGATCATAAGGGCTTTCTTTGTGGTAAGGCCCAAACCTGAGGTCATCTCATCCTGAAGTGCCAGAAAAACAAACTGTTTAGTACTTTCCTATTTTCCTTTTCAGCTTGTTTCTGGTGGCTAACTGAGCACCCTACTGTGAATGCCTCGCACTCATCAAAACCAGTTTGATTATTCATTTCCCTGAAATCATCTCTCTTCTAGTGACTGCTGGCTGGAATTATAGCACCTACATAGTCATACACCAAGCCATTTCTGCAAAACAACGTTCTTCTTAGCAGTGACTGGGGACAATACTAAGACTGCTCAGTTCTGAGGTTACAGACACCTGAACTGGTATCAGCTTATAGAGACAACAGAACGCAGATGGTTACACTGAAATTTTATTGATATGGGATAGATTTTGCTAACATAACTAACAACTAAGCAGTAGAATACCTGCAGTACTAAATAAGAGGGGTCCAGTTTCTACAACTGCTAATTACAAATTTTAGTTCTGTACTCTGCTTCAGTGGCTACAAAATCTCCCAGATTTAAGTGCTAGGCCACTCAACAGTTCAGGAAGAGATTATTCCAGCATCAACAAATCCTTTTACAAGAGAAAGCACTGGAGTCTTTAGTGCTGAATTGTGAGAACGTACAGGTGAGGCATTCTGGCTTGAAGGGAGCATATGCAGTCCAAACTACTACTCCTTCATTATTCAGTAAAGAGGCAAGAGCCTGAAAGGATACAACCCAAGGGAGAGCTATTTGGGCAGCACTGCCATAAGTTTCTGATTATCACGAAATTAGGGCAAATGCTTGAGTTTCCAAGATAAGAACACAAGCATTTACCTTCCTTTCAAATCCGAGACTGCTGAGAGGTACTGGGACTACCAGATCACTGAAAGTGAATCAAGGAAAAGCAGGCAGGTGGCTGCTGCGAATACCATGGTACTGCACAATAGAATTTCTCGTTTGCATTTCATGCTTTAATAGAAATACCCTTAAGGTGACAGCAAACAGAATATTCTCCACATTAGCAGTGCTCAGGTGTATCATGCTGTTTACAGAGTACAGACCTACTAAACCCAAAGCAGGCAGGAAGCTTCCCTCAGCTCCCACTAGTGTGACATATATTCTAGCAAATACAGTTCAGGCGGGATCTGCGGCTTTTCCCGCTACTGCAGTCAGAAGCTCTTCCCAGCTCTCTGCTGTTCAGCTATATGCACAGACATCCAGCTCTGCAAATGCATCTCAACTCTGGTTTGCACTTTTCTTCATGTTCCATGAATTAGTGTTTTTGTTGATGAACTTCTACTAAAAATTAACCTTGCACTTTGAATCCATTTGCTCTGATGACTCAATCAAAAACTGTAACAGCAGTGTCAAGAAATGGCTGATAGCTGCTCTTTAAAATATCATCCAGGCATTGACCTCTCCCTCCGCCCCCCCCCCAACTTATCAGGCACAATTTGAAACAGCAAATTCTGGCCAGGCAGTCTAGTAGTGCTGCGTTAGCTGCAATTTTTTAGAAATAAAAATAAACCTGCTTAGTTTTCATTCTCCGTGTCACTTTTAGGAATTGAGGAAGCAGTTCTGTATTGTTCTTGGAAGCAGCTCAGGTATCAGCAGCACAGGACTAAACATAGAATTCGCCTAAAGACTCCCGAGGGAGAAGATGGCAGGCAGCAAATTGGCAACAGGCACACCATGGCACCATGGGAGTGCTGCAAGCAGGAGTGCCTGAGAGCAACACAGAGTAAGCATCAACCACATTCTCTCTCTCCTGACTGCTAGCTGACTGGGGCACAGCAAAGCACTCAGAAAAACATTTACCCTTTCTTTCCAACAGTGAGAAAGAAGTCAGATAAATAAGGCGAAAACTGAAATGTAGCAATAGGGGGACTTTAACCAAAAAGCAAGATCTGCTTAAACACCACTGAGTTGATCCCAACCAGTACAGAAGAAATGTGAGGAAACCTGTGCTTAATAACAACATTTAATACAGCGATGTACTCCTAGAAAGTGTCACATCATAGTAGGGAGCAAATTCAGAGGGAACCAAGAAGTTTCCTGAAACATTTGCACACCTGCTCCAGTCTTAACACAGGTGTTATGGCTTTGCCATAGGATTGGTCAAGGAAAGAAGATGCAGTAGGTAAGAAAGAACAAAGTCTGGAAGGGATGATGAGGAGGAAGAATAAAGATTTTTAAACACCCATCTTGACACTTAAAACATGGAGTTTATGATAAAGTAAGCAGATAGAGCCAGGTAAACAAACACTGTAATATTGTTAGTGAGCTGCCTGTGCTAACTCAGAAAACCATAGGTTTGGCTCTCCAGGGAAGAAACCAGAAGCAGCTCAGAACTAGAAGTGGAGCAGTATCAATAGACTTAGTGTTGCTTTCTCTCTCCGTAGTTTGACATAGGGATATCAGTTGCCAAATACCAAATCCAGGAGTTTGTTTCAACAGCCTTGCCTGCCTCAGAGCAAAAAGGTTTCCTTTCTCTTCCTCATGCTTTCAGGTTGCATATAGGAAAACGCTGTTTATCATCTGCATTTTCTCTTACAATGACAAGTTATTCCTGAGTATCGCCACCTAGTCATGTCTGCTTCCTGCATGAAGTTTTAGTATCCTGAATTCCTCTTATTTTCATGCAGCCATCACACATCCACAGTAGCATATTTATTTACTGTATCAGTATTTATATAATATGTGTTGTTGAATATGTGCCAAACATTTGTTAAACAATACTGGAGCACAAATATATGTTCTGCATTATAAAACTCACTCTTTCCACTGCCTCTATAGGCATGTACGCTTATTCAACCTTACACAGCGGTAGATACATTTTGTCCTCTGTGGATTTGGTTCTTGCAGAATAAAGCTTCTCACCAAGATTATAGTGCATTTCAACATAATTGCCTTTAAAAAGGCTGTTAAAAAAAAAATAAGTGAATAGGAATCAGAAGATTTGCTAGAGGGTTCAGTTTTCATAGATTGCAATTCCACCTCTCTGATTCAGAGTGGTATGGAAAGCTCCTACTAGGAAGCTGTCAGATTCTTTCCCTCTCTCCAGGATGCATATACTAAGTCCCCTTTTTCAACACTTTGACTCAACTGCTTCTCAGATTTCAACAGTTGGAGGCAGGAAACTGTGCAAGAGAATCTTCTTCCTTTTTCTGAGAGCTATTTTGCATTGCTCTAGCAGAAACAAGAACACGTTTTTTAATTTAACAGTTATATTTTTCACGCTATTAATCTAATTCATTGATTACACCTCATGAAATGTGTTATTCACAGCTTCAAAAACACATGAAAAGAAACAACTTCACCAGATACATTTGCATAACATAAAATCAGATTCTTGCTTATAACAAGGCACAATACAACCCAGTGTATAATCAATGGATATTAAGATGTTACAATCACAAAAAAAAAAAACAAGAGAGGCGAAGTAGATTATGATAACAAAAGAGAATAAATGGAAGGCTTACCCTTATGCTGGGCTCACCCACAAAACACCAGAAGAGGCAATCTCCAGAAGAGATCCTTCCCTACTGGTAGCCAGCTCTTCAATAGGTCTAGGAGAGGTGCAGCCAGGCTCCACCTCTTCTGGCAGCACAGGTGAATTGCCTTCACCTGTGCTCCTCTGGCTGGCTCATGGCCCACCTCAGGTGATCAATCAGAGGTTCAGGCCGTGACTCAGCAGTTCCCATACACCCACGGTGCAGCTTTTTTTTGTCCAATCAAAGGGGATGGCAGACCATATACACAAAAGCACGCCATTTCTTCAGGCAACATTTCTTACAGCAAGATAGTGCTAGAGAGTGATTTATTTTTGTTCTAAAGTAAATCATACTTCAGTGTGCTACAGCTCTGTCCAAGTGTGGCTGCTGAGTTAGTGCTCAGGCTATCTATAATAATATCTATAATAATGGTTATTATATATATATGCAGATATAGATATCTGTAGCATGACAGATGTACCAGCAAAGCTAGGAGATAGCCACTCTAGGCAAAGGTTTCCCCATTATTACCTACATCCTTGGTCTCAGTTACGTGTTTTGTCTTTGTTGGTGTTCATCCAGTTACTTTTAAAAAGAGATCTATCCTGATTCCACAAGTGCGCTTGCCAAGTGACCCAAAACATGTAAAGCTTCTACCCTTACCTATTTCCACTCCAGACGTAATAATGAAAGACAATCTCTTCACTGAGAATCTGGGCTGTCAGCAACAGCTGGATTCTGCTTCTGCCACAGATTTCTGCGTGACGAGGAAAATCTAAAGCTCTTCTGTGCTTTAGTTTCTTGTCTCTACAATGGGACTATTAACTCCCTACCAGCCGTATGTACGTGAAACTATAATATTCACCAACTCTATTGAACACTACTGGAAAGCACAGAAAAGAAGAAATGCATGTTGATATTTGCATAATTCAGGCAGCTCCACTAAGCACATCATAGCTCTATGGGAACTACTGTCTTTAGGACTGGACATACAGGGAAAGGTACCAGAAGGCACAAATGAACAAAGCTATTAAAACTTGTCACCTGATAAGAACCTGTCAGCCACAGCTTAACTGTTGGTGGTCTCAAATAAAATGAAAAAAGCTAAGTCTTCTGCAAAGCAGTGCCCAGATTAATGGACAGAGAACAGTCAACAACTGTCTCCTTCCTCCATCTGCAGCAGCAGTATGAAAGGCAGCCCAGAACTCCCCACTCCAGGACAAATGAGGCCCCACAGCATGGTAACTGAGTGCCTGGGGGGGGCTTCCCTGGGGAAGCTGCTTTAAAAGCTCTCTGCTGCTCATCACCTGTAGACTTACACTGCAAAGAAACAGAGCAGCAGAAGCAACAATCTCTGATATGTGGCCAGAGCAGCACTAATTGGCTACATTTTGCTTGGAACAGAGTCCATTTCATAGCACACAATGACATTCAAATTTTATGCCCTCTGTGAAGCACAGAGTAAGATGCCAACAGGCACAGTCAACCCTTCTACATGGGTAATGCAAAGCTCAGTGCTTTCTTTCTCCCTCAGCTAGTAGCAGCTTAGCAGTACAACTGTTTTGAATTGCACCTTTGCTTGCCCGTTCCTTTGGTCCTGTTTGCAGCAGCACATTCCCAGCCACAGTTCCTTGCTCCACCAGGCTGCTGTCAGGATGAGGCAGAGTTTATGCAGTGCCTTGAAGCTCAGAGATCAGTTACGGCTCCGTATTTATTTATTCTGTTTTTGATACACACTATGGTGCTTTACGCCAATGCAGAGCTTATTCCAGAGGATGTTAATCTTCTCTCTCAGACAAGTTCAGAAATTCAAATGTTCAGAAATTCACAGAACTTCAGCAATTCTTTCGTCTTCCCATTAGTTTCTTTCCCACCACCACTTTTTATCTGAAGACTCTGAGGACTAAAAGTACTATATAGCCTGGCAGATGCACTACAAAACATGTTTAAAAGGAATACTGATGTTCAACAGCCACAGATCAAAGCACACAGAAGAAACAGACAAATTTAAGTCAAAAGGTAGAGGAGTAGCAAAGCAGGTGCTAAATTCATCTCTGCCACCTCCCATTGGTCCTACAATTAAACCTGTGATTTAAAACAAGGCTTCTCTTACCAACCCCTCCAACAGCAAAGCCATTCCCTCGCTAAAAATCTTCACTGCTTCATGTCCTGCTATAACGTCTTTCCTCAAAACCTCCAAGCATTTCATGCAGAGCTTATTCACATCAGCTTTTCACATCAGGCAAGATGCAGGCTAGGGAAGGAGAGAGGGAAAGCCATTTTGAATTTAAACATTAAGAGAGAGAAACTTACTTTGCGGCATTTGCCTTGGTGGGTGATCCAGAAATCAGCCTGCTTAAAGAGCATCTGGCCTACACTCCTGAGCCACTTATACAGCAACTTGCACTGCTGCTGCTCTCCAAAAATGAGAGCAGAGAAGGAGAGAGAGAAAGACTGTGCGCAGCCCAGCACTGCAGAGAATGAGACAGAAGCAGCAGAGTGAAGCACCAGTCTGCTGATTAATTCAGCCTGTTTCAGTCACGCTGCAGATCAAGCAAGGAGGCGGTGGATGGGGGTGGGGGATGGAGGAGAGAAAGGAAAAAAGACAGAGACAGAAGGAAGTTTGCCCATAGCCCCAGACATCTGAAAGAATGGTCCTTCATCAGAGTTGATTCAGCTAGAATCCCTCGGATCCCTAGAATTCCCTGTCTGTAGAGATGCATATGCACGCATAATAAGGGCTGATGCCGACAGACAGGGCTCTCTAGAAAAACAGATGGCAAATCAGATGGGACAAAGTGCTGTAAAATATACTACAGAAGAAGGAACACCTAAGCAGCCAAGGGACAAAAAACAGGTAAGAGACAGAGAGCCCCAGGAATGCTGATTTCCCTATGTAACTCTAGGAGAATCATCCAGGGGACTCCATAGCTTTGAATTCAAGCTCAACTTAAAAATAAATAGGATGGCTACAGGTCCAGTCTGAGGTGTTCCTGCCCTCTTTTCCTGCTGATAGTGTGTCTTAGTTTCAGCCAGGATGGAATTGTATTCTCCAGAGTCCCAACTGAAACTAAGACTAGAGAAAACAGCAAATGCCCCAATAGCATTCACACATCCTGCACCACCCTATCTAAACCAAAAGGTGCATAGAGATTCTTCATAGCCATAATCATGTCTGGGGCTCACCGCTTACTGCCAGCTGTTCAGTGCCACAGAGAGGTGAAGAAATAGTGCAGACAGGGAAGAGCTGAGTGCAATGACAGGTAATGAAAAGGCCTTTGGAGGCAAGGAAGGAATGAACTTTCTCTCATTCTCATATTTTGCAGGAATTGCTTCCTTTTTATTGTTGGAAGTAAACATCTTTCTAAGTGGGTTTTTATATAGCTCCTGCTTCAGTACTGTCCTGATTCTCTCCAAGCTACCCAGCTTTGCAAAGCAATCATTACATCAATTATTTCCTTCCACATAGAAAAGGGTGAAGAACTGGAACCATGTCAATAGCTTGCCAAGGATTATAGCCAATCTGTATAAAATGGAACAGGCATTTACTGCAAAGACTTCCAGTCTCAGCATATTGTGCAGCTCTGAACACCACATGCAGGTGTCAGGACTTGCCTACCAGTCCTAGCCAAAATCTTTACTTCCTCTCCTCACTTGAGAATCAGATGCCTAAATAGACACACTTTATATTCTTTGCTTAAAGCCAGAAATACAGTGATTGTAGGTCTCCATATTGATAATAGATGCAATGTTGATCTAAGACAATTCCTGAAAGAATGAGTTATCATCTTCACGCTGGCACTGAGTCATACTTTGGTATGTCATCTCACAAAGCTCTCAAATCTTGAAAGGAAGCAGCCACCATATTTAATGTCAATTCACTACAGAGCAGGAGGAGAAAAAAGGAAAAAGATATTCTTCATAGTTCTGTGGAGTACTTTGTTTCCTAGACAACAATTTTTAATTGCAGAAAAGAACAAAATGTCCTAATGGTACATTTTTTTCTTACATACTCTTTTCACTATATTCACCTAATCAGTTTGTCACAAACTTAAAAAGTAAGGGAGAAAAAAAGGAACACTAACTACAATACTGGACAAATCCTCACATACCATACATGTATCAGCCCCTTTCCAACTTAGTGTTTCTTGTGGCTCTGCATCTTCTGAAGACTTAAATGAATGTGAATAAAGCAACCTGTCAGTAACAGAGCAAGGCCTCTGACATGGTCCCATACCACATCCTTATCTCTAAACTGGAGAGGTATGGACTTAAAGGCAGAACTATTTGGTGGATAAGGAATTGGCTGGGTGGTCAAAGACTGAGGATTGTGGTAAATGACTTCATGTCCAGGCAAAGGGTGCTGATGAGTGGTCACCCTGAGGGGTCTGTCTTGGGTCTGGTACTCTCTAACATCTTTATCAATGACACAGGTGATGGGATCAAGTACACTCCTAGCAAGTTTGTGGACAACACCAAGTTGAGTTTTGCAGTTGATACAACAGGAGGAAGGGATGCCATCCAAACTCAAAAGGTGGGGCTGTGTAAACTTAATGAGGTTCAACAAAGCCAAGTGCAGGTGTTGCACTCAAGTCAGGACAACCCCAGATACACATACAGATAGGGAGAAGAACTTGAGAGTAGCTGTATCCTGGTCTGCATCAGAAGAGCAATGGCCAGGACAAGGGAGGTGATCGTCCCCCTTACTCTCTGCCCCTGTGAGGCACCATCTGGAGTACTGGGTCCAGATCTGGGACCCCCAACACAGGAAAGATGTGGAGCTTTTAGAAAGGGTCCAGCGGAGAGCCATGAGTATGATCAGAGCGCTGGAGCACCTCTCCTGTGAAGACAGGCTGAGCGAGCTGGGCTTGTTCATTCTGGAGAAGAGAAGGGTGCAGAAAGACATCTTTATGGCCTCCCAATATCTAAAGGGAGATTATAAACAGGAGTGATATCAACTTTTCACATGTGTAGCGATAGGGCAAGTGGAAATGGTTTTCAAATAAAGGAGGGGAGATTTAGAGGAGAAAGTTTTTCACTGAGAAGTTGGTGAGGTGCTGGAACAGGTTGCCCAGAGATATTGTGGGTGCCCCATCCCTGGAGGTGCTCAAGGCCGGGCTGGATGGGGCCTAGGCAACCTGATCTACTGCTTGATCCAGCAGCTGGCAACCCCGCCTCTGGCAGGGGGTTTGGAACTGGATGATCCTTGAGGTCCTTTCCAACCCAAGCCATTCTATGATTTCCTGATTCTATGATATACTTCATCTATGTTGTTCCACCATGGTGCTTCAGTCTCATCCTAAAGAGGACTTGTTCTAGGCATTAGAGTTGTTTCTGTAAGCTATTCAGTCTTTCACCTTCGCTGAGACTCTCTGTAAAGGGTACTGATTGAAAAGTGAGTATTCGCACCCTAGCAACTCAACATATTTAAATAGTTCTGTGGGGAAACAATTTCTGGACTCTGCCAGGCCAAGCCATGTGTAAATCCATCAAACAGAAATGAATTTCCCAAATGCATCACCTGGGTTAACTGACATTTCCTAAAACAAAACTGAAAAGCCATTAAAATCCACAGCTGACTTGTGAGTGCATGAAAAAATCACAACATTGTATCTTGAAAGCCCTACTCACAGATCTGTTGACCACTTGAAGATACCTAGATCTCACCACACTGAATGTTGATCAATGGGATATAACAATGGAGGTGATACTTACGGAACAGCACTCTGCCATTGCTGGACAACCTCGCAGCAGACCTTTCCTACTGTGGCAAGTGAGTACATCTCGATGAGTGTCAAGGTGACAGAAGTCTCAATTTTTGTATTAACCATGGATTACATTGTCACACAACAACACCAAGTGGTCAGTCTTGGCTCAAAATAATGAAAGACTCAACGTTTAGGTTAGGCATGATTCTTATCAGGACACCTACCTGACACTTCTCTTTGAGGTCCATGGCTACGCAATTCTGTAAGCATGTCCAGTAAGAGCGGATTGCTTTTCAGGGAAGAATGTCTCCTAGGTAGAGATGAGCTTGGTTATATTTACCACATCACCATCTGTGGAAATAGAAGGGGAAGCAGTTAATTTCCCAATATCACTGCCTTTAGGACAAGAAAGTAATGGAAGTCACATAATTCAAATGGTTTTTTAAAAGGAGAACTGGGGATTGGAAAAGTGCTTTCGACAGTACAGCATCTCCCTCTTTACTCAGAATTGATCCCATTTAACTGGAAACAGGAGATGAATTAAGTTCTCTGTGCCTCAGGGTGAGAGCATTGCTGAAGCCCTGACAGGCTGTCAGGCAAGTCCCCAGAAAAAGCTGATCAGACTCTGGATTCTGCCTGGTGTTGGAGCAAGCTGCTACCCATAGCTATTTGTCTTGCTTTTCTTATCAACTGGGAGCTTTATCCAGCTAAGCTCTAATGAAGCCTGCAGTAATGATTCTTCTATTTGCAGAAAAGCATTCCCAATCTTTGATAGAGTTGTGCTGCTAGTAACTAGACCATTTTCATCGTAGCACACGGGAACTCTAGCAGAATTGAAGCAGAATTGACTCTAGCTGAAGCTGAGCTCTGGAGCTCCCAACTTTTTTTAGACAATATGCTCCTTGATCTCCCATAGCACGCCTCTCCATGGGGAGAATTTATAGCAGCATTCCAGTACCCGAAGGGGGCCTACAGAAAATCTCAGGAGGGACTTTTTATAATGGCATGTACAACATGAAAATCGGAAATAGCTTTGAACTGGAAGAGTATAGATTTAGACCACATATTAGAAAGAAACTCTTTACTGTGATGGTGGTGAGACACTGGAACAGAATGTCTCACCAGAGATTGCCCAGAGATGTTGTGGATGCTCCCTGCCTGGAAGCGTTCAAAAAATCTTCCAGGCTGGATGGGGCTTTGAGCAACCTCATCTAGCACGAGGTGCCCCTGCTCCCATAGCAAAAGGGATTGGAACTAGATGATCTTAAGTGTCCCTTCAACCCATCCATCCTATGTTTCTATGATATGATTCTACAATACTTTCTGAATACTGTGGTGCTACATAATTTCAAGGAAAATAAAAGGCATCCAAAGCTTACTCAGAAGGCCATTACTGCCATGCTGAAGTTAGATATAAATATCCTCTCTTGCAGGCAAGTACTGCCCCTGCATTTTGGGAAGCAGCAAGTATTTAGTATTCTGCTTATCAAAGAACTGCTTGAAGTACAGAAACTAATGTGTGCAAGTGCAGTTTTCTATCTGTCATCTGCCACAAGTCTGGACTCTGCTCTACTCTGTTCTGTGACTCTTGTCAATATGCACACATCAAGGGAACAGAGCTATTTTCAGGCACACTGTATCCCAGTCAGGCCAATCAGCAACTGCAAAGAGAGGATCAGATAAAGTTACAGGAGCAAAGCTGACAAAGAGTGCTGGGAGTTGGAAGGAGGAAAACGCAACTCTGCATGTTTGCACGCAGCAGCTTAGAGCATCAGTATCCCATTTTTAACTTGAGCATCATTTCTATATAAGGCAAGGCAAGATGAGATGATTTTAAGATGGAGAAGATGGCCACTAACAATGAGAGGGCTAAGAAATAAATCCAGGATTCTTTTTTTTACCCCATCCCCAACAGAAGATTCATTAGATCTACCAAGGGGTTTGTGTGCCTTGTCCTTACACATTCAAACAAAAAATTACATGCCTGTCTTTCTCTCTGGATCTGCACTTCAGAATCATAATTATCAGTGACATGACCAGGCAACTGGGAAGCCACAGGCACAACAGCAGAGCAAGTAAAAACATCTTCAGCTGTTTGTTCTTGGTGCTGTATCGCTAGCAGCAGTAGGGGCCATCAGGGAGACAGTTGGGCAGGAGGCAGGATTTGCTACACTACAGCAAATGACATTCTGATTTAAGCACCAAACTGAAACATGATCTTGAATGCAAAGCACGCCATTCCTTAAAGTTCAAGGCACATCATTTGCATGCTTACGAATACCACCCTGAAGTCCTTCAGTGCTAGGAAGCAGCATACAAAGCGCAAGTGCTAAAAAGGAAAGACTAGTTAGAAAGATAATTCTTATCTAGATAAAATCAAAACCTGTTAAAATGAGCGATATACTAAGAGCTTGTAAAAGCAATCAGAGCAATGCATGCTTCATCATCACATGTGCTCAGGGCTTCTCCAAAATTAGCTTCAGGTCAAGTGATGCTAAAGGAGAAGACAAACCATAGTGAGAAATATCTTTCCTAAATTTCTACACTAGAATTGGTATTGTAGCCATGTAAACTGTGACTTGCAAGCTTTCTTTCAAATACCTACTTGACCAGAATAAATATTCTCCAAGGTTGTTTGCAAATGCCATAGCAACTAAAACCTCATACGCATCACAGAGGTCTTGCAAACACCCAGAAAATGGCTTCACACAATAAGGAGCTGAAGCAGTTTATGCATTCTGCAGGCAATGTACAGTGTACAGCTGTGCAGAGATGTGCATTCATTCACTCTAACTCTCCCCTACAGACACTTGGAAAAAAAAGCACATTCGAGGAGTCTTTAGGGAGAAAAGCAAATCGACTTAATTTTCCCCACAGCATTCAATCACTGATTCTCTAGAACAGACTATAAAATATGATGGGGAAACTGAACACATCTTCATGTTCAGTGAAACTATCAAAAATGAATTCCTCAATAACAGAATTCCAATCCATCATCAAGAACAGAAACAAGAGGGAACATATAATAATCAAAAAAGCAGCTGCATTAGGAAAACATGGCTTAGATAGAGCCCATTGTTTTGCTATCAGCAGAAACATACGGACTTCCTACTCATGAGGAGCTGATGTCTGCCTGCTAATTTGCAACACTGGCACATTTGCTGGCATATGGGTTCTCAGAGATGCATAAAGTGATAGTGTCAACTGATGTGAGACCCACTAAGAACACAGAAGGGAGCTGGCAGCAACATTTCTTGGCTTCAGTATTGGCTTGCAAAAAAAAATAACTTGTAAAAATTTGGACCAGCTAAACATTCTTTGCCTCAATAACCTCATATTACTGATACGGATATACATATCTGCATCAGAGAGAAACTGTGAAGTAAGCGTATGAGTATTTGTAAGGCGAATCCTCTAAATTGGTGTTGTATATGTGCTAAGTATTATCAACTCAGTAGTGGCCAAATGTCTCATTTGTACATGGCTGTGAAGAATCAGAAGTGCATTTCACACAGGCTTCACTCCCCTTGCTAGGTGACAGGAAGTAGAGAGAGATCTATTCTACCTTGACTCAGGAGCAAGGTTAAACTTGAAATTCACTTTAAAATTTGTCTTCCAACTGAAAGTATGCTTTTGGAGAGATAGTACTTGCTGAGAACTTTCAAAAGGAAAAAAGATCTCAGACTCCTTCCCTATTTCTTCAGCAAAGAACCTGTGCATTAGACTTGTTCCAAAGAACGTTGGTGTCTTAAAGCAAGAGCTGAGCTACAAGGAAGGAGTAGGGAAGGAAGGCATAGCTTTGGCACACCAGTCTTTATCTCAAGTAAATATCCTCAGTGAGAGTACCAATTTACTTGAAAGATAAGATGGGTAAAACAAAATGCTACACAACTGAAAGAACACCTTTTTTCCTTTTTTCTCCGGTGACTTGATAAGCAATTAACAGATCTGATCAAAAGAACGATCAAAGTAGTTTAGTCTACCTTGCTCTACCCACAGTAGTTGATGCCACCCCAAGCTGAGGAACAATATATCTGAAAGAGTTTAATTATCTTCGTTTTTCTTTCTTGGGAAGAATAGATTTTAAAGAAGAGCATATGGGAACTGCTGAATCATGGCCTGAACCTCTGACTGACTGCCTGAGGCAAGCACTAAGTCAGCCATGGGAGCACAGGTGAAGGCAATTCACCTGTGCTGCTGGAAAGGGTGGAGCCTGGCTGCACTCTCCTACACCCATTTAAGAGCTGACCGCCAGTAGGAAAGGATCTCTTCCTGCAGATCTCTTCTTTGGAGTTTTATAGTGAGCCCAGGATAAGGGTAAGCTCTCTATCTGTTCTCTTCTTGGAATAGTAACCTGCTTAGCCAAACTCTCTTGTTTATTTCATAATTAACATCTGTATATTCATTGATTATACAAAGAGTATTTACAATTAAAGGACTGAAACCGAAAAATGCAACCAAAAAAAAAGTTGTGAGGGCCTCTCCAGCTTCTGCAGAGTGATGATGTCATCTGCTTTGTGGTATAGTATCTTAAATGGCAACTAAAACATTTTACAGCAAATGTATGAAGAATTCACTGCAAAACTGATAGCTGTCATTCATCGTGACAATGGTTATTACGGTAAGCAGGATTTTATAACAACCTCAATCAAACACACACTTAAACGACTGAAAACTGCAAAGATACAGCAGCCCAAAATAAAATTAAAAAGACCATGTTGTATCTATAGGCTCTTCAAGCAAACTTTTTGCTGATGTACACTGACTCACAGAGAAAAGCATAGCTTTTTCTCTTAATTTCACTTTATAAATAAGACTGTATAACTGCTCACAGTAAATCTAAGTAAAAAAAGTTCTTACACCAGTGTTTGTCATTTGGAGACATTTAACTGTAGGCAAATTGTTACAAGTCACAAACTGAACTGGAGATTGAGCACCTGGTGAAGGCGTGTAGCTGGCCTAGGGAGCGCAGGCAATGTGTACCTGTGCTTCCCATGTGACCAGAAGGGTTGGACCCAGGGGCCAGCCACTGAAGGGAAGATATCTTTTAGACCAGTCTATTTCTTGGGAAGGAATGCTGCATAGCTAGAGAGCTCATTCACCAGCTGGGTGAGTTCCATTCTTCTTTCTGTATATGACTATTGGCCTACCTGTGAATACTTTATCTGGTGTTGCTAAAAAGCTGTTGGAAGAAATGCTGTTTCTTTGAAAGTAGAACATTAACGAACAGCATAGTGGTAAGAATGTTTTCTGAGAATTCCCCCAAAATAAGCACAGCATCTGAAGGCTGTTAGGGTGATCACGTGCATACGTTCATTCAAACAAAATACTACTCTAAGTGGAAAATGCACTGTTCAGTTCAATGGACTTTTGTATTTTACTATTTTCATGAGTTCCACTAAAATCTTATGATGAATAACTGTGTCTAGAATCATGGTAGTAAGCTAACTTGTTCTACTGTGACTAGAGAACAGAAAAGTTGTGTATGGCTCACTAGCAAATTTTTTTCCACTGTTCACTTAAGAGTATTCTGGACAGAGATCCCAAGTGCTCCATGAGGCACAAGTGGTCCCATATATAATTACAGGTGTTAAAAATCTAAATGTGACAAACCAAACTCTGTCCTACAGGTAGGATGGTGATGCTCACACCCTAGGCAGGCCTCTGTTTTTAGACAACCCTACCAAAGGACTTGTCTTCTGGCCAATCCCCCATGGCTCACGGCAAGCTTCACCAGTCACGGGGGTATATAAGTGCTCACTTCTAGGGTGGCTCTTGTTTGAGCAGTTTGATCTTAGCAGTGTTTGCTGTGTTTTCTAGCAGCTGGTCTGACAAGAATGTATCTGAAACAGGGGTGACATCCAAGAAATACAAATTTCAACAGTTAAAGATGTAATATGAAGACTAAAAGGAAAAGTTTAGTTTTCTAGGTTCTGCTTGTGTTGCCAATATTTGTTCCTGGGACCTAGGCTAAAGCTGCTAATATTTTAATCTTCTAATCAGATAAAGTGTTGGCAATACACTTATTCAAAGTGTTCGAGTTAAAAATATGTGTTGATGTGCTTGAATAGAAGATGACAAAGTACTAACCGAAAGAGCACAAGATGCCTGTATAAAGCCAGCAGCACGTATGTCTGTATTATACAGTTTTCTTAAAATGTGACTCCTATGCTTTCTAGGTTATTTAAATTCTGCTCCATTTGAACAAGATGTGTACTTTAACATAGTACAGTAGCTGCTAATAGTTTGTTTACATTGTAACTTGTTTTTAAGGAACCTGGAATGTAGATGTTATTGCATCTTCTTGTGCATACTGTGCTGTCCACTCTGAACTTCATTTCTACAATTACTGGAAGAAATAATAGGATTTCAAGAAATTTTGCCATGGGCTTCATCTTTTTTGAAAGTATGTGTGTGGGAAGCTGTGCTACTTGGAGCTGCTTCAGGAGAATAGATGGATAATGCTGGGTCCGTGCACTGCCGGTCTGGTAACTTCAGGTGCTGATAAGACTCAGTTAGTTATCAAGTACGAGCCGATTATCAGACGTGAGCCCCGACGCGGAGCAGCGGCTGGCCGCCCCGAGGTGAGGGTGGGCACTGAAGCGCTTCCTTCCGTGCGGGTGGGCCCGGCTGCAGCCCCACCTGCGAGAGGAGCGCACAGCCGGGTATGCCTTAGAACTACCACGTGTCGGAGCTTTCTGCGATTTGTTTCTTTCTCTCCCATCTCCTTCATAAGCCGCTAGGTAACGCTCCTCTGAAGGGAACGGCGCTGCACGGGAGCCTCCGGCCCGAGCTTTGCGGAGAGCTTTCCTCAGGCCTCCCGACAGGGCCGGGGCTAAGGGGGAATCCCAGCTGTGGGAGCGCGGGCCCTCCCGAACTCGCTCCACGGCGGGACGGAGCCCAGCCGCCGCCGCTCGGCCTGTACTCACCAGCCGCACCGGGCCGCCTCAGCGGGGAAGCCGCTCGCCCTCCTGGCCTCCCCCAGCGCCGCCGGGGCCGCCATCAGGGTCACTGGCAAAGCGGGCCGCCACGGCGCTGGGAACCCGCGGTGGCGTTTCAAGGCTGCCTCAAGAAGCGGGTACCTGATTGGTGGGATCCCGCGCGGTCGGCCGTACGCCATTCGCTGATTGGTGAGATCAGAGTGGCGCGCGAAGCCAAGAGGACGCTCTGGCGGCGGGTCACCCTGAGGCGCGGCGGCTGAGCCCCGAGCGCCGGGCTTCCTCAGCGGGACAACAGCCCGTCTGCCCCCGTGAGTGTCGGAGGGAGGGTGCTGATCTCCCACTGCGGAAGCTGCTTTTGTCGTAGGGCGACCGACCGAATGGAAGTGCGGAAGGAGCCGTGAGGCAGCGAGCGCACGGGCGCGTGGAGCCGGTAATCTGAGGAGAAATCTGAACCGTTGCTCAATCCAGAAAGGAAATCGGGTGTGAGGCAGAGACGGCTCACTCTGCCTTTGCCTGCGGAGTTTGGGTTCTGTCTTCTGAAGGCATGGTGGAGCAGCTAAACTGGAAAGGTTTATGTTCTGTCTTTATTCCCTTCCTGTAATTCGGCGCTCATATATCCAGGTTGTGATGTGCCGCTCCCATATGAGATTTCTCTACAGAAGTGATGTTCATTGGCGTGCTGAAGTGCAGATGCCACACTCTAGTGGAATTGTGTACGTTATAGTGTAAAAGCACAAACAAAGAGCTCTGCGCTGTTTTGCCTGCAATTACGTTTTGGGTGAGAAAGTGGGATTTAAGAGTGTGCTCTCTGCGCCTTTGACATAATCTGAACTGAATGTACATTTGATTTTAGGAGTTCTACAGTATTGTTTGCAGCTCTTTTAAATACCTTATAAGGCTTAGTAAGAAGATGACGACTGTGGAACTCTGGGCTTTCCTGAGCTTCTGGTTACTCAGAACAGTCTCCTAGAACCAGTAAAGAAAAATGGAACTCCAGTACACGAGTGACACTGTAAGCCTTTACAGTTCCTTAAAAGGGAATAGTGGCAGGTCTAGGGGATTTTCTACTGTAGTTTAGACACAGTATGGGGAAGGGGATAAGTGATTTACTGGAGTTGTAGTAACATGACATCATGAGTTGGGCTTAGTGCTGTGTGAGCATCTTGTTCCTCTTCAAGTTGTTTCAACACCACCACAATAAAATGTACTTAATTAGTAAAATGCTTTAAAGAAAAAGTTAGAGTAAAGAATCTTGAACAGATTCTGGATTACTTGGTTCTAGACACAGGTTCCCTGCAGGTCTCAAGCAGGCCACTAATAAATGCTGCTTTTTCTCACTGTTGTGTTCTGAATAGAATTTCCCCTGCAGTTGTGGAGGCTAATAGATGGGATACTCAATCTATTTGTGTCTTTATTTGCTCCTTGGTAAACTTGATCTAACTGTTCATCTCAGAGTGATTTAAAAACCTCGTGTTTGTAGAGCATGTTGAATTTAAGTGAAAAACATTATCAAAACACAGTAATACAAGGATGCTTGGAGGAGTAGAAATACCCTTGAATTAGACAGTGTTGCTAGGAGATGCAGAAATAGAAAAGGTGATCCATTGAACAAGCTCTCATGATTTCTAGTACTTGATAGTAAAGGGAAAACTGAACAGCAAAATGCTGTTGAATACTTAAGATAAAATAACCTGGTACTATTTTTTTTCAAATCTGAGATATTTGGCTTAAAGACTTTTTTCTGTAAGAGAATGCTCTGTTCATCTTACATTAAGTAATCATCCTCTCATTTTGTGTTACAGAATTGTGAATGAATGTTCTAAAGGTAGGCAAGATTATTTCTGGATCTTTATGGTATTGTAGTATTCCAGGATGGAAAATTCAGATGGGTCAGTTTTGCCTGCAAATTAGGATTATTTTCCACACTTGGTTCAAAATGAATATTAAAACTATTCTTTGGGTGCTTTGTTCCACATCCTTGTGCCTCTTGCAATTGTGGAACTGTTTCACTGTGCAAAGGCCTCAATATTGTTTCGGTAGGAATTGAATTTAAAGAAATGAAATAGTTAATGCAAACCCTTGTGCGCGCTCTGAAAATCCTTGTGTCTTCAGCGCAGGGATATGATGTCTCCTCTTGGGGCCACAACATATGGACAGCGACATCTCTTGCAGTAATCTTGTGCTTCTGAATGAATTGCAGCCTCTGGCAAATCCAAGGGAGCTACTTAGCCTCCCTGTATTTGCCTTTCAGTCAGTCCTCATCAGTATGCTGTTTTGTGTAGAGCAGATGTGAGAATTTGACTAGGAGCACTTCGAAGCAGATACTGTATGTGGAGGGGAAAAAAACTCTATGCTTCCTTTAAATTAAGCTCTTTAAAAGGTGTTGAAGTTGCATATAACTTTAATCAATGTGATGAGCAGCATTTCTGAATGGTTGTGCAAAATAAAAATTAAATCAGTGAATTCCTCGGTATTGTTTAGAAGAAGCAATTGCTGTATGACTTCCTTTTCCCTGTCCCTCCCCCCAGCACCTTTGATGCCAGATGCTAGGATTTAACTGTATTTCTAGTACTTGTATAGCTATAAGGAATTAAAAAGAGGAAATTGATACAAAAACCTGTTTGAGTCTTAAATATTTAAAAGCGGTAGTTGACCAACACCTCTTCAAAAGCTCAAGGGAAGACAATATTTTCTTTTAGCCAAATAATGTTGCTTTCCAGCTTGTGTTTAATATGTAGGGAAGCTGTACATAACTCAATGTTTTTTAACAAAAAAGTGGGTTATTCCTCTAAGAACAGGATTCACCCTTTTATTAATGAACATCTTTGTTTTTCTTCCGACTGAAAAGTAACTAGCTTGGAATTGTCAGTTGTCTTGAAAATGATAGGTGACTAAATTGGAAGCAGGAAGAAAGCAGAAGCGTTTTTTTTGGTTTTTTTGTTTTTTTTTTTTTTTACTGAGGGAGATAGCACACTGTAGCTGGATCTGGTTTTTTCCCTTTTACAGACTTCTGTCAGAGCTTAAGCAGTTCCAGGTGATCCCAGCCAACTTGAATTTCTTAATGCCTGCAGTGGCTATTACTGTTCTCAGGTATAGTGGTGTTTCCTCCATAGTAATTTTTATAAGTCTTGCTCTGTCTTCTGTATGTGACTGTGGTGATGCATGGTGTAGAAGAAAATCTGCTTTTATTATATTTTTCCTTGTTCTCTGAGCTTTATTGTAAGACTCATGAGCAATTGTTTTGGCCCAGTTCTATTTTAGCTAGTTCTGAGCCTAAGCTAATTTTTCTTTCTGTTCAGTTAAAGTCCAAGCAGTCCATGTTTGTCTTGTTGGGGATTAAGCTGTTTCACAAGTACTCTTCAGATCTGTAATGAGTAAAACTGTGAAGTGTTCAGGCAGATCAGCTGTGGTGTCTGCATCTCCAGTAGTGACACTTATCTACTGCACTTAGATTCACAGAAACAGTTGCAGTAATGTCAGTGTATGTGAGAAAGTCAGAGCAGAACATTAGGATGGTTTCTAAACAGGGAGGAGTAGTTGATAGTTACAAGAAGGCTCACAAGTCAAGAGCCATCAATTCTGTTCCCAGTGCTGTTGAACAGTATGGCATCAGTTTGTGGTATGATTTCTAGTGAACTTATCTGTAGAAGATGGATATTTATATTTGTTGCATCTACAGCTAACAGCTGCCAACTGCAATGAAACTAAGTCTTTTGTATGTAGCAAACTAGTTAGTTGTCCACTCCATTCACTTATCTGCTCTCAAGAAAAAGATGCAGAAAAAACACTTGAACAGATCAAATTCTTTTGTGATCAGATTCTCTTGTTAGCACTGCCTCTCAGTGTTGCAGATATGGGGGGGGGGGGGGGGTGCGGGGAAGGGGGGAGTAGACCAGAAACCTAGTTCCTAAGGTGTTTAAGGAACTGTGGTAATACTAGTTAAATGCGGTAGATCCACCAATGGACCAAGCTTGTTTGGTAATCATTTTAATACTTCAATCTGTAAGTAGTATCTGCAAATCTATTTTGTGTACAGATTTCAGTCTATAGCCTAGATGCTAGGCTCTTTCAATGTATTTGGTCTTTCTAGAGTAGGTCATTTGTTTTATCATGTGAGGCACATTTGTTTAAGCAACTTCAGCTCTGGGACACCTTATCATCTAGTAAATGGAGTGGTTGAGGATTTTGTGGTCATTTTCCCAGGCTTGATTTTTCATAACTGAGGCCACCATGGATTGGTGTGAGGTGGTGTTGCTCTTGCAACAGATCCCCCTCCCAGCATTCTCTCCTTGCTGTACTTACATTCCTAGCATTCCTCTATTAGCTGCACCCTGTTCCTCTGAGATGTATAGGAAATCAATTCTCCCACAGTTGCCAGAACAGTATTTCGGTATTATGTTTTCAGCTTGCTGGAAAACTGATCAGGGCCTTCTTGAGCTGTGTAAGGCTATTCTGCATTCTAGTTAGCAGATTACTTGGATTGTTTTCAATAGGAGAAAGCCTTCTGTCTGGGTTCATACATCAGGTTGTTTTTATACAACTACAGTCATACAAAGCATGCTATGTGAACTGCAGTGATATAATGCAGAATTGTGATATGAAGCTTTAGCCATCTGAAGGTGAGCTGAGCTAGCCAGAGTATTGCTTTCAAAAACTAACGAAACACTAGTTTTTTGAAGTCAGGAAATGTGTTGGAGGAAGAAAGGTACATATTAGCAATGTGTTTAATTTTCTGTGCCAGAAGCAGTTTTTAACCAAAAAAAAATACTGAAGACAGTTCCTAACATTCATAGTTATTGGCCATTGTTTACTGTGCTGTAGCTCTTGATAGCAGCTCTCTATGAGGAGAATGAGGCTGGGAACAAATTTCAAGACTGCAGAAAGGACATTGATGCTCTTTGGAGAGCTCTAACAGTGAAGTCCTCTTTGTGGTTTAGAAGACAGCCTGAAATACAAAACGCAAGTTTAAGCTATGTTATCTTAAATAAAGTTTGTTTTCAAAAGCTTGTTGAAAAGGTGATAAGTCAGTGAATCATAAGTACGAGGAAGCTAGGTATTCATCAAGGCTGAAGATTTCCTCTGCTAGAATTAGACAATTATATCCCAAGTTAATTCCCATTTTATTTCTGATACTGACAGTATCTAAACTACTCAGATGATTTTTTTTTTTTTTTCTCTCAATTGATTAGAAGCCTTAAAGAATTTGTCTCATGAAACTTCCCATCAACTTAACAAGGATGAATTAAAGCTCTGCAGACTAAGGATTATGTGCTTTGTTTTCTAGCAAAGCTTGGATTTTCCTTGATGTAGCCTCTGCCCTTCTGAAAGGGATGACTGCTTGCTGGGCCCTTACTGTTTTGCACTGTCACTAGAGAGGTTCTGCTGTAGTTAACTTTATTGACGAATGCATGTAGAACTTGGAGACCACTCTAGCTCTGTTCTTTCCATTAAAGCTGATAATTTCTTTGGCAACGAAGAGAATGGATACGATTTAAAGCTACAGCAAATATTTTCAAATTATGAACCCTTGGTAAGTTCAGTAGCTCTCTTGCTTGAGGAATAGGCCTCTGAGCTCCAATTCAAGCTATGATGCTTAGTTTTCAAACCTGCCTTTGAAGTCGTATGTGCTGATGCCCTCAGCAAGCGGGAGCGAGAGGTCATGTTTTTACTCCTTTGAATGAGAAGAAACAGTCCAGAACTCCAGAAATCTTCCTGGTTTATATTTAGCTTCTTGCATTGGCTCTACAAGGAAGTACACTTGCAGTATCCAGTAGTACTATGATAGTAACAAAAATATAAATTTGTATACTGTGTCTAAATATATGCCAGAGCTGCTTGTCTGGTGGAGTATTATGTTAAGATGTACACCAAGGTCATGATTTGCTGTGACAGAAAGTAGCTTCTAGATGACATGCAACGTGAGTTCTGAGTTCTAAGGTAGAAGCTTATGTGAATTCCATTGCAAAGACACAGACATTAATGTAGCTTAGGTTAAAAGTGGTGTCAAAATATCATTAAGGCTTGTGTTCAATAACTAATATTAACATGACTGCTGTTACAAGTATTAAACCTCATGTCATCAGTAAAGTTGTATTAATACAGCATATACCAAGCAGTAATTTTAACTGTAATTTAAATTAAAAAATTAAAATTACCTTTAAAAAATGTAATTAAAGTTTTAGATGGCTAGTAGTGCAAAAATAAAGCTTTAAATCTATTAATAGCAAAAAATAAAATAAAATAAAATAAAATCATACATTGATTTCTGTAGGCTGCTTTGAGGTCTTTAAGAAAAGATCCTAAAGAAGTGTCAGGCACAAAGTTTTATCTTAAAACTTAAAATACTCAGAACTACTCTCAGATTTTTATCACCACAAATGGTCATAGAAGATTCATGCTATTCCTGGACCACAACATTATTTGAAATTGATCCTCTAGCAAAACATCTCTTTCACTCTAGCTTACAGCTGTGCTGGTATTTCAGCTCTTGCAGTGAAGCTGCACTGGTATTTGTACAATAAGTTGTACACTTTAAAGTGTTGACTTGCAATGAGGGTGAACAACTGACCTTAATTGATCTGTAGACAAGTATATCTCTATTAGGAGCATTTTTCTATAACACTTTGATCTCTGCTATTTCTGAAGTCTGTTGCTTATCTGGTCCTGTAGGACTGCCCTTTTAAAGTCAGGCAGCTACAGCCTCTTAAAGTAGCCATTGTTCATCTGGTAGCTGCTAGCCATATCTGGTTTTTCAAGTCCAGTGAAAAGTGCCTGCTGTAACTTTGCTGTGAATGTTATTTAACTTATAGAGGGCTTATTAAGAAGTTCTAAATCTTCCCTTTGAAGTCAAATGTGAAACCAGAGAATCTAGCTCTGTGCTAGTAGTGGGGACTTCAGACATCTTAGAAACTGGCTCTGATTTCAGCAGTCTGTGTCATCCTAGGTAAATTACTTTTGCATCCTCAGAAAGAATGTCTGAAACATTCGTAACATCCTTAACTCCCGAAGCTCTTTTTCTCTACCCTTTCCAATTTTTGATTGAAGTATTAGAAGAATTCATATCTTCCCCTAATGTCCAAATCTGGTAAGAAATTAGAATTATAATCCCTTAAATACAATGCTACTAGGATGAGAAAACATTTTTCTAAGGGTTTAAACCACAAATTTCATACTAAAATGAAGTTTAAAAAACCACAGAAAAACCAACCCTCTCAAGAATCCTCATCAAGCTGCTTAAACACTTAGATTGAAAATGTTACCAGTGTTTGCAGAACATGGTTTATAAGGAGAGTTGTATGAAGTAACAGTATATATTTTGATGTTCTTATCTTGGTGTGGACAAAACCGTGAATCCCCTTTCAGGGGAATTGAAGGAATTGAACCAGTTTGGTGTTTGTGGGTTTTTTTTTTTTTTTTTTTTTTTTTTTTTTTGAGGACTTAACTGAAGGCTGAGATATGCAACTGTCATAAAACAAAATATCACTTCTGTACTCTGAACTGAGATGTAGTCAGACTTCAGTCAGAATAATCCTGAATTTAGATGAGCCCAGTTGTGAGCTCTGCACTTTGTTACATGCTATGCTTAGACTCCACATTCCCAATCTCAGCTTCTTTTCAGAGAGTGAGGAATGATTTCTGCAAAATGAGCAGGAGAGAACCCTCAATAGTTTGCTTGTGGCTGGTCATTGCTTGTTTGGGGAAACTGGCAAGCGGATGTATTGTATAATTGGCTCCTTTTCGGATTGGTAGTGTAAAGCCTCTGTTTCAGAAATAGCTTTTCTCTCTAGAGCATGAGGAAATATTCTCTATGCAGTTGCTTCATTGATGAATTGAGTATTGCAATTACAGTCTCTTAGAGCTAAAAGAATTGTAAGAGGGCCATATAATTAAACCTTAGAATGAGCTGCATGCTCAGTCTAGGTTCTGCCCTCTGCACACGTTTTAATGCACTGTTTTTCAGCATGGGTGCCTCAGCAGAGCTCAGCATAGATGGTTATAGAGCACCAAGC